CCAGAACGCATCCTGCACAGCGCGCAAGCCCCCTTGACATGCTAGGACAATGCAAGATTGGGTCCTCCCAGAGCGAAGGCTTCAACAGCTTTTGCCGGCATCGGTTGTTGAATGCATCACGGATGGCAACGAACCGGGCGTAGGGCGCCTCCGAAGCCGGCGGCCTGCGTCTGGCAAACGTTTTTTCCTTTTGTTTGTTCTCGGCTTTGTTGTCCGAGCTGTCTGGCTTGGATGCTTTGGAGGGCTTGGACCCCTTGTCTGCTTTAGGCGCCTTGGGCGCCTTGGCAGTCTTGGCTGTCTTGGGTCCCTTGGCTGGTTTGGCGGGCGCGCTGTCCGTGGGCATGTTTTCTTCGGGCTCGTCTTGGCTATCCTTGGAGGTGAGCAAGTCGGGCGTTGTTTCTTGTGCGCTGTCATCAGCACTTGTCTCACCTGTGTCCTGAGCCTTTTTGTTGGCTGCTTTGGCTTTGGCTTTGGCCTTTCCTTTTGGCCTTCCTCTTGCTTTTGGCTTCGCGCTCGGCTTTGCTTTCCCCGTAGCGCGTCTCTTGGCTGCGGGCCGCTTGAGGGCTGGAACGTTGGGCTCCTCCTGTTCGTCTTCAGGATCCGGTTGCTTGCGCTTGAGGTCCGCCTTCAACTGGATCTGGTCCATCCTGCTGTGGTCGGCCTGTCAAACAAGTTCGTTTGGTTGCAATTGGCTGAAGCGATGCGCATACCTGCCTGGTCCCGCTTCAAAAGGGCAGCGGTTGTTGGAGACGACGGCCCAGTTTCCATGCTGGCTGGAGGAATTGCAGGCTGGGCTGGCGAAGCGCTAACTGGTGCGGAGCTGTTCTCCCGCTCACTGTTCGCAATGGTTGGCTCGCTTGCCAGTGGGGCATCGCGTGCTGTGTCCGGGAGTTTGCTTGGTTTCTCAGCGCTTTCCTTTGTCGGGCCTGCTGTGATGCGTTTTGCTCGGAGTGGAAGTGCTGGTGGCACTGGTGGCAGGAGGTCTGGCTGGTTCTTGTTTGCTGGCGTGGGAGTCTTCTTCGACTCCTCCATCAAGCTTTTCAAGCTTTTGAACACCGGCGAAGCGTCGAAGGGTTGTGTGTCACACGTGGAAGGGTCCACCAAAGAGCCAGAGGCTGACCGACCTGAGCAGCCCCAAGCACGATAGCGTGACGAAAGGTGCTTGGTGTAAGGGCCCTGCCGAGGGATGGAGCAGGAGACACGTGAGCGCTCTTCCAAGAAGCACGGCGCTCTGCGATGAGCTTCCTGGGTTCACTGAAATTACGGAGCACGCACTCGTGAGCCGAGCAAGGGTCTATGTGTCACAAACCCGTTTGTTCATTTTTGTGACACTGTTTTTGGTTATTGTTGAGGGAAACCAAGGTAGGACTGGTTAGCCAGGAAACTCAATCTCTGCCAACTCCCGGTCGACACTCTCGGTTGCTTCCGCAGCCTCGTCGGCGACCTTGCCCTCTGCAGGCGGAGTGCTTTCCAGCGGTGGCTCAGGCTGCGAAGGCGGCCGATCAAGCTTCCGTCGCTTGGGTTCCCCCCCCAAAGACATAGCAAGAACTTCATCCTCCTTTTCCTCAGATTCTGTTTGCGGGGTACAGTAGCCATCATTGAAAGGCTCCGGGGTTTCTTCCAATTCAGTACCCCCCTTGGTTTGACAATCTTCAGTCAATTCCAACTCCTCACCATCTTCAGGGTCCTCAGTGAAGGAACTCTTAGAGCCAGAGCGAGGGATTGGCTCCCACACTTCCCCCATGAAGTCATAGAAATCACGAAGGCGCTTGTCCTCGGCCGAATGGCGAAATGGCGGGCATTTTTTTGAAGGAAGTGAATGGGAATTTCTGAATTGCATAAGCAAGGGGCCCTCTTTCTCCCACCATCGTGTCTTCTGATGGCCAGCGAGATCATGCCTTTTATGGCATGCGCCTCCACGTACACAATCGTTGGCTTCACTGGTAGCTCCAGCTTCTCCCGAAACAGAATGATCTGCAAAGGGAAGGTGGCGGAATTACTTGCACAAAGAGTTGCTTGTTTGCCATGAGCTGAAAGGGTCATGTCCCTCAGGTTGCTACGGTTGTGTCAGGGGCTGAACATGCAAGTCCAAGTAGACTAAAGGCTTCTGCCGCATCAGGGCTTGAACAAGAAAACCATTTGCACTTTTGGTTTCGGAGACGGGTCAGGGGACGATCCGACGATCCCTGCAAAAGGGGGGGAGGTTGGTGCAAATCCCAAACTTGATTGATCAGTTTGCCAATTGACCCAAAACAAAACCTATGGCTGGTGCTGTTTCGCAGCACCCAAACATAAACTGCTTGGTTATTTTCCAAAGATGCTCCATGAGAATCCATCGGGCGTTATTGTAATTAACTTCGACCCAATCGATCTGGTAAACCCAACAGTTTTTTCATGAGTTTTTCTCACACAACCCAAGCCTGACGCTTGAGAAGGTCTACTGGCACGGTTCGCATGGTGGCGTGCAGTGCCCACACGCTGATCACTGCTTTCAAAGCCTGGACGTTCAAAGTGATGGCCCCAAAGTTCGCAAGGCCAACCTTCTTGGGCGAGGGCCACTCCAGCAAGCTACCAAGCTTTAGCTCTCCCAAACATCACCCAAACCATCAAGTTTGTTCTCGTCATTTTCTTCGGCATAGTCGGAGCCCCCCTTCAAATCAACCTGCGCAGGCTCATCGCCCTTGGCGGCCATGGCCCCAGTTGGCCGCAGTGCCCAAACGGAGCGAGTCAAAACTCGACACTTGCGTGGCTTCGGAGGAACTTGACAAACTGCGGATGCCTCACACTTGACCAATGGGTGCAAGGGTTGTGGTCCCAGATTCCACAAACACGATCGATACGAAGATTTACAAAGATTTACGAAGATTTCACCGTAAACCTAAGCACCCACCGAGAAGTGTGTGTGTGTGCGCATGCGGCAATGCAGGGGTGCGCCTTTGCAGGCATAATTCTCTCGATCTATCTCAAGACCTGGCCAGGCTAGTTTCATCAAAAAAGGGTGCATTTGGATAAGGCACCAGCCGGACCCAAGTAGAACTCGGTCATGCACCCACCTTGCTGCTCACAACGCATGTGGGCTTGACACTGCTTGAGAATCGAGGCTCCAGACGTGACGCTTCCCGTGCAGCCCGTGTACCTGGAAGGCCAGCTTTGACATGAGATGGGGGTGAAGAGTCCAAAAGGGCAAAAACCCTGTTGTAAGCTTCGTGCCACGTTGTGGGCTGATCCAGAGTTCAAGGCGCAGCAAGCACGCATCCTGAACTCACAGAGTCTGTTTGTCTTCAAGGGCCACCGAGCAACTGCCGTCATCACTGCCAGGCCTGAGTGAGCCCAGGCGCTCGCATGAGATGTACCTCCGCGGCTTAGCAGTTTGCGGTTGCACGGTCAGCTCAGTTCCATTCAGGAAAGCTTGAGATAAAGCGCAAGCACCATTTGCGCAAGCACCGTTTTCTTCAGCAACATGGTTTCCAATCCACGATGATCACCAACGCTAAAGCTTCAAAATTGCGCTTAGGCAACTTGGCTATCGCACTGCTGAGAATCTTCGGGCACTTGGCTTTCCTGAAGAAACTGGCTTTCCGGCGCAGACGGCTCAGACTGCATGTCATCAAAAGCACCTGGGGGGTGCAACAGGGGAACTCTTAGACCAAATTGTTGCGCAACACCCCTGTTTTCAGGGGTCCCAAAACTTCCTTCACTTGTGAAACATCCCTTCAATGGTCCAAAACACCGTTTGCTTTTCCCCCTTTCAGAAAGTTATGGCTGCGACAGCTAGGGGTCCAAATGATCACATCCCTCACCCCTTCAAAAGGCAACGCGACCCTCGCTCAAATCAAGGGGCGGAGATACAGCGACCCTGTAAACAGGCGACGTGACATCCCCCCTTCAAGAAGGACAAATTACATTCCCGTACCCTCACCTAACCCCTTCGTTCCCTCACGTTAAGGATCCATTTTCAACTAAGGGTCCATTTTGGGAGCTGGATCAGGAGATTGTCAGCCCTTGAAACACTATGTTTCAATAAGGCTGAACGCAGGTCATGTTCTTTGATCGGCCAAAGGGCGTGCTGCCTGCCAGTTCTTTAGATACTGAACCAAGTTGAAAGCGCACCCGCCGCTGTTGTAATTGTCAACGATGGTGATCGCCTTGTCTTTGGACAGCACGTTCTGGCCGGGGCGCGCTTTTGACGGCAACCCCAACATTCGGTGGCCTCGGTCGGGCCTCGGGGGGGTGTTGCGGCCATAGCACACCTTGAATCTCATGGAAAAAGGCAGGCGGAAGTTCATCAAGGCCTGGCAGTCAGAGTGAGTGTGAAGCCAATTTTTGGGCAACATCAAATGCAAGCGACTCGGCCTGCCATTTTCAAAACAGAACGAGCTTCTTCGCTGACTGCCATGGCAGGAGTTTCTTGAGCCCGATGCTTTCAATCTCGAAAGCAACTTTTTTGAGTTGCCCTGCCCCCCCCCCCGGCACCCTGCCAAGGCAAGTTGAGGGCGCACGTGAGTGCGAACTCACACTCAAAGGGGCTGGCCAGCCCTGATTTGAGCCAAAATGGCACAAAATCGGGAAATGCGAGGACGTGCACGTTGTTCACCTGTCGGTCGATGCGAGAGGAACCCGGAAAACAAGTTCTGCCGCAATTAAAAAAAAACGCCGCAAATTAGGAAGAATTGCCGCAAATCCAAAAAGTCGCCTTTTTTCAATTGCGGCAGAAATTTCTGCCGCAACGAAGGTCTAGGTATGTATTTGCTTTGTGCGCAGGTGGCTCATGTTGCTTTGTCTGCGCCTAATCCTACAAGAAGTCCCTTGATATACTTTTCAATGTGATTATGATACGGCACAGGGCATTTCTAAGGGGGTTTCCGCTACCCCCCGAACAACCCTCGAGGTAAGACTGTGCAGGTATCTTTTTACATGTTTTTGTATGTACTTATGTTTATGTTCTTGCCCTCCTTTCCTCGGGACCTCTTTTCCACCACCGCGGAAAAGAGTCGACTGAGGCACGCTCCACTTCACCGAGTTCTTCGCAGCCGGCATGGGGTCGGCTTTGTTGGAGGCGCGCGTGCAACGTGGTCCGGGCAAAGGTGGTTGTCTTGGTTGTGTTGGTCCAGAATAGGTTCGGGAATCCCTACGGGGGGTGGTCCAGGGTAAGGCTCCCGAAGGAAGTCAGGGAACTGTGAGGAAGTGTAGGGCTCTCAACTACCAACCCCCCTTGTACTTACCCCTCTTAGGGATTCCATAAACAATCACTTTTCTGTGATGCCAAGTTGCCTTTGAAGTGATCAAGCAGTTCTTGGGCACATAGGCCAACAACATCACAAAAAGCCGGCCCATGTTGCACATGTTAGGAGGTTCTTCTTGAGACCCTCACACATTGTCAAGTTGCTAAACTCATTTGGCCCAAGAAGTTGTTCAGCTGTGAGGCAGTGAGCTCAGCGTAGAGGTTGCCATACGTCTTTGCTTTGCTTTAAGACGGCGATGTGAAAGGTTAAACGGGAAGTCCGAGATCCGAGCTCCGGCACACGGGATCTATCCTCGCACCACCCACTCGATTCCCCAACTCCGAGGACAAGGCGCTGCGCGTGGTCTTCGAAGCCCTCGAGCCGAAGGATGGCACTATCTCAGCACAGGACGGGTCCGGGATCGATCCCATCGACCTTCGGAGACATCCGCCGAGACCAAAAGTGTTTTTTTTGGTTTTCGGTGGAAGGCGAAGCCAGCGGAGATTTTTTCACCGAGCTTGGTTGGAAGGGAAACGGAATACTCATCTTTGGTTTTTTTTGGGGGGGGCCGGGCAAGCAGGTTTGAGTCATGGTCATATGACCTTCTTATGACAGACCTCGCAAAGTGGGGTGTCAGTGGAACCCATGAGCAAATTGAAATTTAAGAGGTTTTCCACTGTGGTCCTTTGTAGGCCAGCTTTCCTGGTTGCCACAGATATACCAGCCAGGATGGTTCATTTACCCACAGAGAAATCATAGAAGGGATGGTGTTGGATTTTTTTCCAGAGGCCGCATGGAGACAGCCAGTTTACTCATACGCTACCTTGGATAGATTGGGGAAGCGGTGGTGTACATCCCACTTTGGACTTGTTGGCGGGGGTGCAAAAAGTTGGTGCTTAAATCAAAGAAAAGAGTAGTCACAAAGACAAACATAGCGTCAAGGAAGCAGGTCCCTTCTGGGACCCTCGTCCCAGGCACCAGCTCCACGGTTTGTTTCGGGGTAGCTTTTGAGGGCTTCGGAAGGCCTTCTTAGACCAGCTCTGAGAACCGTTGGGGCGCGAGATTCGGCCCTCAAAGTAACTTCAGTCTTTATTTGAAGGGAGGGTCCTTGGTATCACAGAAGTGGGAAAACATGGTCCCACAACCTCTAAAATGGGGTGTTCCTCCTTTTGGCATTCCTTCAAAACGCCCCCCCCCCCCCCCCCAAATTGGCACCAACAAAAACACACTCATGTTGACAGGGGAACCACCCAAAAAAATTGATCTAGGCACCTCTCCACAGGTACTCTACAACACATACTTCCACAACCCAACAAACAGATTTGGAGCCTAGCAAGGAACCGACTCGGTGAGGCTCAAATACCCTCGAATCAGTGAGCTCGTCATATAGGTAGAGGTACATTTTGGGTAGGCACAGCCTCGCTCATGTCGATTCCCCTAGATTCCCCCTGGGGGATGATGGTCAAGGACCCGAAATATGCATGGCATGAAAATGCTAACTTCCACTTCATCCGGACCCGAGATGGAACCAGGGATGACTTTGTGGGCAAAGAACTTGGAAAGTCCACAAGAGTTCCAGACATGTCACGTCACCAAAAGAAGCACCAAAAGACACACATCGAGCAACTGCCATGCGGAAATGATGAGTCAAAATCACCGAAACGAGGCCTAGGAACTCAACTCAAGGGAGGTCTTGGTCACGCCTACGGAGTCTACGGCTTCGGTTCCAGTCAGACTGGTTGCTGCAAGTTATGTTCTACGGGTTGGTTCCTAAATACATGCTTATTCAACAGCCAGAGGATTCTGCGTCTAAAGTTAATACCTAAACATGGTAAATCATCCTATAGAGTATGAGCAATATCCTAAGAGGTCCACCAGTGGCATCACAGAAGTGGGCATTCCCACAACTTCTGTTTTGACTGATGCGCAGGAAGTGCGTCGGCTGCTCAAGACGCGCCTTGGAAGGAAATGCCTGTCGCGCACCCAATTGGAAGTTGTTCAAGGGCCGAATTGGACATCCTTGAAAGATCAACACAACTGTCTATGTTCGGTACATTGCAAAAGAAACTTGGACCTACACCTGTTGCTGGACCCCCGCGCTGGACTAGTCGCTTAGAAAAGCCTCCAGATCAGCAATCGAGGTGCGACATAAAGAAACGCTGGTCCGAGAGCGCGCTGATCGACTTCTCCGAGGAGGCGGGATGCCTCAAGATCGAGCGTAAGCATTCGAGCCCCAAGATACATCCCTGCGTTTGTGTGGTTGAAGGTTTAAACATCGGCTTGAAAACTTAACTGCTATTGGGTTGGATCTTTAGACTTTAACTTTTTGGGAAAACAAGGGGTTTTCCACTAAACCCCCAAGAACAAGCAGTCTTCATGGAGTCGTCTATGCTTTTGTCTTTTTGGGTTGGGTGATTGAAACCTTGTTCGTTGTCCACGACGAGGCCTGACCAATTCTGTGAAGCTCATCCGGAGGAAAAAAATCAAGCTCGGAGTGTAGACTCGTCCACATGTTTGGATGAATTGTTCAGGTTGCGATTTGGTTGCATCTTAGCCATCAGGGTGTGTCTTTTTTTGAGGGTGCCCCTTTTTGGGTAGGTTAAAAAGGGCGACCAAAAGAGACAACCACCAATTTGGGGGTGTCCCACCTCAAAAAAGACACAGCAATAGTGCTTGTGAAAACAATGAGCTTCGAGTGGCTAAAACATCTCCAGAAGTGACATTAAATGATATCCGTATACTCTATCACGGCATGACGCCCAACATCCTGGGCGGTTTTTTCACACTGGATCAGGGATGCGCCAGATTTTTCAGCTTTGCAGAGGGATACGAGGGTGCAGTCCTTCCAAAGGACGGCCCTGTCCTAGAACTCATGCTCGGCTGTTATGAATCTATCCCTGTCTGATATTGGCAGAGTGCCACAAAGAGTGCTATCAAAGGGCCACCAGGGCGGAGAGAAGGTGCAATCCACAGAGAAGCTGCATCCAAATCCTTTTCCAGAGGGTTCAGGAATGGTTTGGCAGGTATTCTCTCGGCTCGACCTGGATGACAAGGGCGCGATTGCAGCCGAGGAATTCAGCTGCGGAATAAGACGCTCGTCCCCAAGATTTCGAGCCTTTCAAAGTTGAACCAACTTCAGTCTCAAAATCGGGGGGGCAAGAATGATGTGGTTTTCCTCGTTTCCTTTCAAGCCAAACAAGGCCAGCGTCTCAAAAAAGCACAGCGACTGTCGGCTTTGGTGAACTTGGGTGTTCATGCGGTTACCAATCCCAGGGCCTTGAGGCGAACTTGTGGCACCTCGGAAGTTCCGAGGCTTCGCCCATCATATTCCCTTACGCGGCCCATGGTTATTGACATCAAAAGGGGAGCCGGTTTTTCAAGTGGATGCTCCCCTCTGGAATTGGGGGGCGCAGTCAGACAGCTTAAGCAGGGGTCCCTGTATGTTTCCCCCCTGGGAGTTGTTCGGGCTGTTGTAACATGACCCTTCAAACCACTTTGAGATGAGCTTTTGGGGTGATGTTAATGGGAAAAACATGGGGAGCTGTGCGAAAGAGAAGCCAGAGGACGAACGGATGGGGTTGAGTTGATGCTCCCTTGTGCGAACCATGGGTGTTTAGGTTCGTGCGAAATGGATTTTGTCCATCCACTCTGTGTTGCGCCAATAAGGCCAAACCCCAAAGTAATAGTCTTTGGGCAGCGGGCCGTGGGGGTCTGGTGGGTTCGGTGGGTTGGGGGGGAGTTGGGAGGCTAGGATCGTGCCCAGTGCTTCAACCCGATCGAAGCCACTGTTTTCAGGTAATTAGAGGGGAATTATCATTCTAATGTGTCTCAGTAAAATTTCGTCCCCACAGAACGTGGCCAAGTAGAGTCATGTTGGCAAGCCAGCAATAAAGAAAGTTGGTCAGCAACACATGCGCCCGCCCGGTTGTGTCTCAGGGCTCAACCACTTGCTGGAGCAGGTGTGCTGTTTCATCGCCCTAGATCGACCAAAGCTAACATATAATGTGTATATATATATACATAGTATTATACCGTATAACCAATATTTGTTCAGAGCCGTAATAAGGGGAGCCATGGGAAGGTCGTTGCCCGTGCTTGGAGTTTAGTCACTGCTAGTCACGCGTTAGTTTTACCTGGCTGCAATGGCTCCCCTTGAGTAGGTACCCCTATTTTTTAATCCTTGCATGTCCCAGACGTTAGCCATATAACCCCCTATCTGATCCCGCTTCAGGAACGCATCTCCAGACAGTCGCACGGGCACCGCGCCGAGGCCCGTGTCAGATGGTTTTAGGGTGACTCAAATGACACGCAGCTCATTCCCGCTTTCGCTTCTTGTTGAGCGGGTACCCTTCACAAATTCGTCAAGCTCCCTTCAATCTTTTAGGCGTCGTTGGGGGCATTGCTTCCAGGGCCGGGGGGGGGGTGGGGGGGGGCAGGAACTCAAGGGGCTCCCGAAATTCCAAACACCATGTCAACCAGGAGAGTCATGTATGACACCGGGGGGATGTGCTGCTCGGGGCTGCAACGAGCTTGGGCCCCCTCAGGCATTCCTTCAGGTTGCTGAGTGGTAGTCTGGTGTGTTTTGTTGGTCTGCTTTGTTGTTTGTTCAAGCCTTTGCTTGATTTGGTTGCTTGTCTTGTTGCTCGCTTTCCCTTGTTTTGTTTGATGGTAAGTAATTATGCTGTTCGGCTCAGCCGCTGTGTGTTGTGGTTTTCCCTTGCGGCCATGCAGGCTGACCACACTAGCATGACAGGCGCCCCCAGTGAGGTTTCATGCTAGTTGCTCGCAAAGTTGGCCAACAGCGTGTTGAGACCACCTTTCTTTGGCGTCACCCAAGCGTAAATGCTTGAGGCGTGGGTGTGTCTCACTTCCTGAGTTCCTGCATTCGAAAGTGGCTTCGGAAGAAAACGGCATGGTTACCTTTTTTGGGTCCACTCGATCGGAAGTGAACAGTGTCTCGCGTTGATGGTCGCTCCAGGCTCGCGGCGAGGAAGCAAAAGCTCGGTGCAGCTGGTGCGGACCTAAGTTTGGAGTCGGGGTGGCCGCACTGGCGCCCCGTTGCGCGCGCTTCGGGGCAGCGGGCAGTGGTCACTTGGCTGTTGGTCAAAAATAGGGTAACCCCAAAATGGTTTGCCCTGGTAAATGGAAACATGGAGTAACCCTGTGGTTCCCGGGCGGTTTAATTTTGACCCATACCCACTTGAGGGAAATGCCTATAAAAAGAAACCAGTGGGTTCTACGATCCGGGGTCAACCATACTGGCAGTACAGGCAAGGGCGAAACATCGCTTGCCGATCGAATGGGTCTGGGAAGCCAACGCGAAGGTTCTTAGAGTCATTGAGCGACACTTACGATGCATCAGGTTCTCAAGTTCCCAAAGCCCACCCTGGGCAGAGGCCTTTCTTCCATCCCTTCCCCTCCCGAAGAAAAACAAAATCAGAGCATAGCACCCGACGCAAAAACAAAACCGGGACCAGCGGAAGACAGACTCACAGATTGGACCCTTTCATTTGAGCGTTTCGCCAGGGTTCCTTGAGTGCAAACCCGAGCTTTCCTTGGCTGCTATGGGGTTGCGGATCTTTAGACTTGTTATTTGGTTGGTTGAAGTCATTTGGGTTGCCGAATTGAACCCACACAGAGTGAAGAACCTTTTGTGGAGGGGTCAAAAGGATTCAAGTTTTGAGGCTTTCAGGTTTCTTCTTGGTCCGCTTTGAGCAAAGGTCTCAAAGGTTCATCTTTCATTTCTAGGTCCTTTGAGCAAGTTACTTGAAGAATATCCTTCAAAAACATCACTGGTGAAGCGGGTGTTTGGATGTGTGCTTCAAGGAACCCTGGTGTTTGCCGTATTTTCCCTTTTGTCGATGGAAGCCTAGAAAAGTATTGGAACAAGACATTGGGACATTATGAGGGTCACCAATGAAGGTCAATTTTACTTGCGGATCCCTCACTTCAGATTTTGGAATTCATGTAAACCGTCCAGATATCGTTCCCAGTCGTTTGATGGAGTCCACCCTTGAAATCCCGACAATGGAATTGGCCCCAAAAGGCTCCAAGATTTGTTCTGGCAGGGTCACTGGGCGACTTTTTTCGCGGCACGCGTTTAGGCTTCCGTATGTTTCAGACATCCGTTTCTCCTATCTTCCCTTTCAGTTGCAAGTGTTCACAGGGCCCAAAACGGATTGCAATTCATGCCAGTGCGTCTCGCTTGGATAAACATTCTACAATAGCTAATTCTTTCTCCGCCTCCACTGCCTTTTTTACCCTCGTGCCAGGCCTTGGAATAGCACCCACAGCTATTCATTGGGAAAGTTGCTCGATTTTTACAGGTGTCTTCCCCTCCAAGCCAGGACTCCTGCCAGGGAGTAACCCATGGGGGCTGTCCAAGATTCCCTCTGTTTCTTTCGGTGGGGGATGTGAAGGCTAACACACACACACATATACGTAATATCATTCTATATTTAATATTCATATATAGACAAATGAGGAATCCCTTCTTGTCGCAAACGGGCATGGTTACGTTGTTTTTTGGGTCCATGTTGTTTCCATTGGGGGTCGTAAGAGCTTATTGCAATGAGGGTGAATAACATCTGCTGGATGCTCCAGGGTGAATAACATCTCCCCGGTTGACCAAGCGCTGGTCCAGGTCGGCTGCTGGCCTTTCTGGTCCTGCCTGCCGTTTTGGCGTAGGGCTTAGGTGGCTCGCTTTCCTTAGGGAGACCGGACGGCACCAGTTGGTGCTGTCCGGGATGACCCTCAAGCAAGCGCTTGAGGGTTCTAAGGAACGTTTGGTTCCTGCCACACACACACACACAGTTTGAAACGCAGTAAAGCTGCTCCTAAGTGAGCTGCCAATCATTTACTGGCCCGCCTTGCGTCCCTGACATCTCGTGCGAGTGAATTCACATATGGGATCCAGAGGCTCTTGAATCAATTCAGGAGAAGATGTCAGACTGGGATGCAATGCAGACTCTTGAGCCAAGAGGGCTCTAGCTGACTCCGACAAAATCAATCCAGGCGTGCTTGAAGGGCAATGACTCCAACCCACCTAAGCCGGGATCTCTGGTATTTTCCTTTGAACGGTGGCTTTAAGCTTCACTATTTGACGTACCTTTGGGCCTCGTCAAGGTGAGTTTCCTTTGGTGCGGATGATGTTTTAGGGAAACGGCTGTGGGTCAACACCAATGGGTTCCCATTTTGGTTGGTAGGTGAATTCACCACACATTTTAGAAACTATTTGACTGGGGATTAGGACGTCTGGGGGGTAACCGGGATTTGACCCATGGCCAAATCGCGGACCCTGCAGGCTTTCGGTCTTTTGGCCAGGCGCCGGAGGAGAGCGAGCGGGCAGATGCGCCATGCCGGCATGTCGCGAGAAGCTTCAATCCCTCGATTTCACGAATCCTCCGTTTGGTGAAAGGTTATATATATATATATATGTGTGTATATATATATATATATTGTTTAATTTTCCCCGGTTCAGAGGGAATCGATTTCACCACTGGACACATGCTCTTACTTTTTCCAGGGGGTCTTGATTCACTCATGATTTTGTGGGCGACTGGTTTGAGGGCCAGGTGTCTCCATCCCACCCCAATCCTAACCAGTTCCACTTGCCAAAGAGAGAAACTTGGGCGCGTTGGGTGTCGAGAATCCGCGGCATGAGCGCTTTCCGGAAGTCCTTTTCCGGGTCCCATGCGAGATTTGGCGTGAGACTTTGCAGACGGTTTGGGGATTTGCAGTTTGCGCGAGAGAAGATCTTTGCTTACAGTTGCTAAAATGAATATGTTGTTTTATTTTCCCCTGTTTATATTTAAGGGAATCTATCACTACTGGAAATATACATATATATAATATACATATATTTTTCCGGGGGACTTAAGCAAAAAGGAGGTTTGAACTTTGCAGTGCCTATTGCTTGCCTGCATGAGAAAAAATGGTGACTTTTGAAACTTGGTAGTTAAGCAAGCATAATATCTTATAGAGCTTTGCAGTTCATCGAATGCATGTGTACATGTCGCTTGGCGGCTCAGTCTTGCGTGCCATCATGCCATCCCCGACGGGAAATGATATGACCAGCGCAATTGTAAGCAGAGCCTCGGTTCAAGCCTGGACTCCCGGATCGAGAGGCAAGATGCCGCTCGGCGCTGAATGGCTGTTTTTTTTGTTTTGTCGGGTGGACGTCATGCCTGGAACGCGTGAACACAGAAAGTTGGCCCCTTGTCCAACCCTGGAACTTGGGTAGTAGGTCTAGTTAACGTTGGCACGTTTCTTTTCCCTCAACCTTGGCAGGAATAGTCATCAAAATTCCGGCCCCATGCAGTTGATTTTTAACCTTGGGTGACTCTGCGTATGTCAACCTGGTCTGACTTGTTTAATCTTGCTACCCTGCAATATAACCTTGCTCCTTCCACAACCGTCTTGCAGGCCGATGCCTTTGGCAGGGCTTCCGAGTTCCCTTTTGTGAACCCCCCCCCATCGTGTTAAAGCTGCGCAACACTTGTCAAGCGATGTCGCAAGTTTTGGCTTGTTGCTTCCACGAGCTCAATTTGTGATATTAAGGTGCTTCTTTCCGTATTCAGTATTCCGTACTTAGTATGAGGCAACCCTATGAGACGCAAGCCCAAGCTGACCCTAAAGCGACCCTAAACCAACCTTAAGTCAACCCTAAAGCCACCCACCCAGACACTGAGCCAATCCCAAACTGATCCTAAACCAATCCCAAGCAGACCCTAAGCCATACACCCACCCTAAACCAACCATAAACCAAACCTATTCCTACCCTAAACCAACACTAACCCAAGGAAAACCGACCCCAAAGACCCCTAAACCAGCACTAAAGCACCCTGCACAAACCCCAAACCGCCAACCCAACCCCAGAACGGACGCTAAAGCAAACCAAACCTACCTTAAACCAACCCTAAACCTACCCTAAACCAACCCTAAAATGGCCCCCAAACCAACCCTAAACCTACCCTACACCAACCCTACGGACCCCAAACCAGCCCTAAACTGACCTTAAACCAACCCTAAATTAACCCCGAGCCAACCCTACACCTACCCTACACCAACCCTAAACGGACCCCAAACTCACCCCAGCCAATCCCTAAACCAATCTTAGCCAGATCCTAAAACAACTGAATTAATAACTTTAAAACCAACCCCACACAACTTTAAACAAACCCTAAACCAACCCCACCGCCGCGTTAAGCAAGCCTTTAGCCAACCCGAAGCACGCCATGAAACCACATTGCCCAAGTTTTCCCATGGGATTCCACCCATATTTCTTGTTTTGAAGTAAGTGAGAAGTTGAACTGCTTTGCCGAGGAGCTTTGGCAACGCCTTACGCCACACTGCGCTCGCACGAAGTGCCTATTTGGACGGACAAGATTTAGGCAGCTCGCTGGCAAGTGGCCGTGGGCAACGTGTGAGCAAGGCAACGTGTAAGGCGCAAGGACAGAGCGAGTTTGAGCAAAGGACAGGGACAACGCTCGGAAGAGACTGCGGAACGCCGGGTTGGAGAAGACTTGGGGATGACTCCCCCTGCTTGGACTTGAGCCACTTTTTGGGTTTGGACCATCTTGGTGGTTAGATAAAACGACCCTTTTTGGGCCATCCTCTCGGGAAGGTGAGTTCAAGCCCAGCCCATGGCCATCAGCCGCTTGCCAAGGACACAACAAGAGAGACGTGTCGAAGCCTGAGGGCCCGAAGACCGCAGACGGCCTCGAAATCGGAGCCTCGAAGGGGTCTTCCTCCAAAATACAGGGACACCACCTGTTTACAAGGCAATGCTCAGGTGTATGATGTAAGGATCCCTGTGCTCTCTAAGGTTGAGCAAACGCATTTTTTTGAGGTAATGATGGCGGATTTAGGGGACCAGCAAAGCGGGACATGGCAGCTTTGCCACAAAGGAGCCGGTGTCTAGTTGGGCGTCAAATGGTCCGCAGCTGTGATTTTCCTAAAAGAGCCAAAACTGTCTCACAGTCAAAACCGGAGCAGCTGGAGAGTAAGGGACACTCCCAGCCATGGGTGCGGCCGCCCTAGACCATATATGAATACCTGGTTTTGATTGTGACTTTTGCGTTTCCAGAGCCCCTATTTAGCACCCAGCTATGCATCTATGCATCAAGCAATGGTTCCCGTTCAGACCCGGATACGCACGTACCTCAGGCCTTCTAAGCCTGCAGCACGCGATGGGGACGAGCGCGCGGCACTGGCAGCAGCAAGAAGGCATTGCTATCACAGGGCACAGGGCTCATGGGTGTGTTTGAGTGCACGACTTGAAACATCGCTTCTGCATCTTTCTTTCTTTCTTTCTTTCTTTCTTTCTTTCTTTCTTTCTTTCTTTCTTTTTTTTTGGGGGGGGGAGGTCCGGGCACGGTCAGAACACTCCAGGCCTCTATTCTTCGCGGCTATCCCCAATATCCGATGGAATATCCGATGGAACATGCGGCCTCATCGGTTCCTGCTGAAAGATGTGCATGGTGAAAAAGGTGTTTTACTACTTCATGGCTATTTGTTTGGGAAACAGTGGATTTTCCATTGGACGCACAAACAGTCAAACTTTGTGCAGAGGACTCAGCGGCAAACAAGACTCGAGGGATGCTTTTTGTTTCACGGAGTATGACCTGAAACATCACCCCGCCTTGAGGGGCGACCCGGCAAATCGCTTCGATGTTCCATGTGGCTTTCCTTACCGTATTACTCCCACCTGAAGCTCGGAGAACGGCTTTACGAGCCTCAACACCACTGGATTCCTTAATCAAAACTCCACCCAATTGCTGCCTGACGTGGATTCGGTGGTCCATCCACAGGTTCTTAACGGTGAAGCATCACCTGTTGCTCGCCTGCTATTTGGTTGGATCTTCAAGCTTTGTCCACTTGCCCAGTGGCGCCCTTTTTTCCTTTTTTGAGGAAGGGCCCCCCTTTAAACCCAACCAACCAAAAAAGGATGCCATTTTCTTCCCTTGGCCACTGGGCATCTGAGTTTGACTGGATAAAAATGGTTGGTTGCTCCACCAAGCAAAAAGTTCAAACCCGTTTGCGGAGGAGCTGCTATCGCCAGAGTCGCCTGAGTTCAGGTGAGCCACATCCTCAAAACCCGGGTAGATGAAGGCTAGTAATGGCAATCCCAACCATAAATAGCTGCGGATATCCGCCTTCTTAATTCTTTACATGGTTCTGGGTAGACCACTTTAGCACCGGGTTTTGATTATGATTCAGGTGATGCTTTTCGGGAAGACCATGGCCAAATCGTTTTGCCAGCACGGAACTCACCAAATCGTTTTGCCAGCAGGAAATGGTCTCTCCCAGAGAGGTTCCTGGAATGTTGGTCACTTTTGGGTTTGGACTATTTCAGTGGCTTCACAAAAAGTTTAGGCAGACTTTTGTTGGCCCATCCACTCGATCGGTAGCGCGTTTCTTGGCTTTTCGGAGTTTGGATTGGTTTGGATTTGGATTTGAGCCCTTTGAAACCTGGGAAGTTTTTCAGGCAAGCCAAACCACCAAGGGCGTAAGGTGATTTCAGCTTCCCTCTGACTGGTGACTTGGTGGTTGGGTGGTTTGGTGGTTTGGTGGTTTGGTGCTTCCCCCCAACCCAACATTTTGGGCCAACAATCTGAGCCTTGGGCCAGGAACCTCCAGCAGCCCCAGCGCCTTCAGACCGCCTTCCAGGGCGCCTTCGGCGCGGTGTCCGGCACCGAGCCTCGGCGTCCGAAAACGCGAGCTCCGGCCCGCGGAAATGGCCATGGGTCAAAACCCAAATCGGTTACCCCCCAGTGAACATCCCAATCGGGACCCACTAAAATCGGTTCTAAAATGGGCGAATTCACCTGAAAACCCCAAAATGGGATCCCATTGGTTTTGAGCCATGGCCAAATGTGAGACGCCCAACGACAGGGCAGAGACAAATGTGCATGTATCAATAGACTCATGTACATAGGATATATTTATATGTACATGTATTGATATGGAGATATTCTTCACCTAATGCAACACTCGGAGAACTCAACTTGTTCGGACAAGGATGAAAGGGCGGGTAAGGGTAGCAGCGCACAAGCCATCTATCTTCCACACGTGTTTTGCTAGAGAAGGCGGTCGGAACCCCCAACTCCAGTTTTGGTCTAGTTTTTGTTTGGTCTGGCCCAAAAGGGGCCATGTTGGGTGTGTTTGGGGGGGACCTTTCAAACGGGGTGGGGGAGTGAAAATCAATCCGCTGATGGTTTCTCTCCGTACGCGCCCAAAAAGGGACCCTCCTAAGCTGTGGAAAGCGGGCTGGCTTGTTGCGATAGTGTTGTCCGTTTCTTCACAAGATCTCTTGATCACTCTAAACGCGATTCCCTTGGCACAGCAAAACGCAGGGGAGGGATCATTTGGTATTGGCTTGCTCGGTGTGTCCGGGGTGCCAAATAGCATAGGTATCCCCCCATGTATATAGCAGCCAGAGATCAACTGTTATACGTTAGTTGGCTCCCTCAAATCGGATTCCGCTCATTTTGGTCCCAATCATTTGCTACTTTGAGCCTTTTCGAGAAGCTCACAGTGCCGTTGGGATCCAAGGTGGGCCTTTCAAGCCAAGTTGCCGGAATGCCGGAGAGGCTGGCCGCGAGAGGGCCTGTTGTTTATGGTTCGCCCCTGAAAGTAGGTGTCGAGACAACGGCCACAAGGACTTCGCCTGGATAGTTCGGAAATAACTCCCTAATCCTCATGATGGTTGTGTGTTCCCTTGTTGCAGTCCCTCTCCCAAAGCAAGAAAACGTGCTCTCCCCACAGAGACATGTTTATTATGAGGGGGGGCCTGTGTGCATGTGTTTGGGGCAGCGAGTAGCTATTTCGTAGCACCCCGGGTCCGAGGTTGGTTCCTGTCGCAAGTTTAAAATCACACCCGAAGTGCAATTTGTGAATACAGGAATCAAAAAAAAAAGTTACCAGTTTCGGGTTCTGTTGTTTGTGGCTGAAAGGAAAGGATTGGGGTCCGGAATGGGGCTCGAGTTGGGGTCACGAGGGACAATTGCTGGTTAGTATTGGCCTATTCTGAATTTAGTATTCACGGACCTGGCGTTTTTTGGGGGAGTTGCTTTTTGTTTGTTTCAGGAGGCTTCTTGTTAACAATTGAAGGAGATTAGTGCTTTCTCACCAAGGAGTTGCCGGTTCGATAGGCAGGGAATGAGTTGGAATGACCCTAGAAACCGTGCCTTGTGGTATCCTTTAAGGGGACCCTGGGTTCATTCCCAGAGCCCGGATCCGGGTCATTCCTTGAGAGCCAGCATTCAACGACATCCCAGTCTCAGACATACGAAGGTTGGCGTGTTTAGGAGCTGTTGTCTCCATCTGGCCATTGGTTATGGGATGTTATGGACATGCTTTGGGCAGCAACAACTCTGCTTCCTGCAGGCATGCAGCAAGTGAGTCACACTCAGAACCGAACGGCTGGATCAGCTGGATAAAGTTTGGCTCGGCAACCATCAATTACTTTTTGTATGGCAGAGTTCTTGAATGCCCACGCAGGTGTCAGCTTCCAGTATCGAAAGGTCCGGTCGCTCTGGGGTCCCCCAAATGTGGTTTGAGAGGGACACCAAAAAGAACACAAACCAAAAAGTGTGTCCCCCCAACAGCATCCTTAATTTCCCTTGCTGGTTTAAAGGGAGTTGATTTCAATACTGTTTTTTTTAATCAACAAAAAATCCAGGGGGCGAAAACACAAATGGAAGACAGAAAGACGGACACCCAACTTGGTGGAGCCGGAACTTCGATGCGTCGCCAGGCGCCTGCTGCGGTCGCCCCGCGCTTTGGACGACGCGGCGGCCGGGCGTTGCCGGCCCTCCACAGCACCGCTGCCGGGAGGATCGATGGATCGATTTCCGATGGGCCAGTCGGTCGGTCGGTCGGTCTCCTCACTTCCTGAGTTCATGAACTTCAAACTTTTGGGAAGACCATTTTAGTCGTAGAGATAAAGTTTGGACATCTTTTGGGCCATCCACTCAGCCAGTGAGCCTCTGGCTCTCGTGGAGTTTTGGGGTTGATCAAAAAGTCCGTGATAATCTCTTCCCCCTATTAATAAATACGCCCCCCCCCCCCTATTATAAATAAATCCCCCCCAAAATGTATTTTTTTTTTTAATTGGGGTTTTTGGGGTTGGTTTCTTTTGCTTTTCCAACAATGTGAGGGTTCACGTAGGATTTGGATGAAATGGATTGAATTGTAAGGTCCGCGAGTAAGCGGTTCAATAAGGAAATTTGATGTATCATTATATTTGTTTACCAGTTTACTGGTTGTTTGTTTGCAGCCAGGCAGGTTAATTAGCCAGCATGTACGGGAGAGAGACAGTCGCAGCTAGAAGACAGCTTTTGGGGACATGTTTGGGAAAGCAACCTTTTGGGGAATTGAGGAACCCACCTGTTGAAAAGTGAGGCTGGAAGCTTGCCAAAAGTGCCCCCTAATAAGGATTCCAAGACGTTAGTATTGGTTTAGTATTGGCGCAATGGAAAATCAATTGTGTGGAGTAGAAATCTGGTCCCGGGCCCCGGATTTGCATTTATTATTAATTGGGGTCATTCATTAATTGGGGGAGCGGATTACACGGGGCGACAATTAGGGAGGCTTCAACTGAGGCACGGTTGTTTGGTAATGGTTTTGTTTGACGGAATTGTCAGGTACCCCATGCATAAACTCACTTTCGTTCATTCCGTATTTGGTTACGCTGTCCTGCAAACGTAGTTTTTGCTTTGGGCTGTAAAGTTGTGCAGTATAAGGCTGGATCCAGCTACACTGTCAACGCGTTATCTTTCGGAGAACGCTTGAGCCAGAAGCAGGGGTCCCCAAAAGCATTTGAGCTTTGGTGTTCGCATTGTCCACGTTCTGTCAAGGTTTCTTATTGCAATCAGAATCCATGGTCTAAAGAGTTAACATTTCCCATTAGCTGGGAAAAGTAACCCATGGTAATTTTGGGGTTGATCAGGAACTTTTGATCAACCCCCGAATCAACGGGGTATACTTTCTCAAACAAAAGCAGCACACCCCTGTATTTCCTGTTGCCTGCCTGTGAAGCGACCACTGAAAAACTATCCCGATGGACGAAGCCCGATTTAAGTACTGGTCCGCTCACCACCCGCCAAGTGGTGCAGGGCAGGGGGCTGTCTATCCACTGCTTTGGGCATTTCTCATTTGGCGCTTGTGACGAATCTTGTGACTTGCAGTACTATGGCCACAGACAGCTGAACTGTTCAGCTCTAATGTCTAGAGGCTTCTCCGGGGTTCCATTTTGACCTGCAGTGCAACCAACCCATCCGTTCTCTCTTCGCCTTTGGCTTCCTTTCCCTTTCCAGCCAACAAGTTGCAGAGGGTCTAAGTCTTCATCAAGTTAGATAAGGGTGGTCCAACAAAAAGTTGTAACCCCTCTCGTCAAAGCGCGCTGCGTCTCCCTGGTCCACTTTTTGACTGCCCCAACTCATTTTGTATTGAGCGCGGGCAAAAGCAAATCACTTTTGGATGGAACACCCCGTATGAGTAGGACGGGTTCATCACTCCCGGGTCGACATTACCTGTAAGGGAGCGGATGAAGGGCCGCATTGTGCAGCACATGTCTCGCAGGACTGGTCATGGACATCGATGTGCCGTGACTGGTGACATAGACCGGTGTCGCAAACAAAGGTGCCAAACGACGATAGCTTGCACTACCCCGCAAAGAAGGGTGCTGTGCCCAAGGGAAACCAAGACTGGATGGGTACTTTTTACGGTTTAACCAAATCCGCTAGCACCCAGCCCGCCTAGAACCAGATCAAGGGCATATGCGCCCATAGTTTCTTTGGGTGGTTTGAAGGTCGTGGGCACCATCTTTGAAAACGACGTTTGTTTGTGAAAGACGTGGGACGTTGGCACACAATCTGCATGAGTGTGAACGGATTCCCTAGAGGCCAAGTTGTTAGTCATGCGTTGCATGCCAGTCTGATCTCAGAAGCCAAGGAAAAAAAGGTGAACTTGTAGTTGTAGCTTTTCCTGGGCTTAAGCTCAGTCAGATGCCATTGGGATGGCAACGATGGCAACGAGTCTGTTCTGATCTGGGCCTTGGCCAACCTTGGCAGCTTGAGCCTTTCCCCGGCCCATCTGAGATGGAGAAATTGAAGGTGTATCAGATCGGTACAAAACCCTTGGCACTACGGATTGCAAGCGATTAGATGTTGAGCGCAGGGTCAGCCTTTCATGCCCATGTTTCCTTCTTTTTCTCGAAGGCGCCTCCCTTTTTTTGGGTTTTTTTCTCAAAGAGAACAAAAGAAGCACTTTTTGAGGAGTCCCCTCAAAAAAGACACCCAGAAAGTAATTTGTCCAGAGAGCCATGCATGACCCCAGGACCTCCCAGTAGTTTGCCTTGGTGGGCTTCCCTGTCACTCGCCACCGGAGGTTTTTGTGCTCTCTGTGTGACTTTTGCGTTTCAGACATCACCCTTGGGTCCAGACCCCTCGCGCTTCCATCCAAGGGCTCGGGGCACAAGCGTGCAGTAGCGCGGCCGAAGGGCCGCCCGGCGGAAGTTGTGCCCGGGGCGTGCAGGATGCGATCTTCGGGCACTGAGTTCCAAAAAGTTCCTGGGGACGTTTTCATCCCAGTTTTTTTTTTTTTTTTTCGTGGTGTAGGCTAGAACGAAGGAGCGGGGGAACCCCTCTTAGAGAAAGCTATAATACATTAGGTGTTTCTTACACAAAATGATATGGCACGCTACGAGTGTAAATGAAACTGTTGGCCTTGTAAGCCCATCCGGGAAATAGCACAGTGTTTGTGTGTTTGGGTGTTAGTTGCAAGTGGTGGCAAGTGGTGGCAAATTTCTGCACGCTTGTGTCTTACCAAGTGGGAGGTGGCCCACGAATGGCAATCCCACGCCAGGGATGCTGAAAACTGAGATGACCCCTTTCACCGCCGTTGTGGCCTTTTGATACCCCGAAAGTTGCCTCTATCTCATTTTGATATGCCGTCAGCTTACTTGGGACGCAACAAAGGCGTCTTGCCCTTTGGCAGCTTCGCCTTGGGCACCTGAAAATGTAAAAGTGTAGCACCATCCCTAGGATCCCAAGACCTAAAATATGAGGCCCCAAAAGACCTCAAATAACGGGGTCTTGGGACCCTCGGCATGGTAAAACTCAGTTGGGGACCTTTGGTTGGCCGACAGGTGAAAGCAGGTGTTGGTTACAACGGCCGGTTACAATGGGCCAGTTGTTGGTGGTCGGCTCGGTGAGCAAGGGTTCTGAAAGGATACATCCGAAACCAGCCTCAGGGTATCCTCCAAAGTTGGCAAAAAGATAAGGGCATCGTCTAAACAAGCTAGTAAGACATGGTAAGACAAGAAAAGAAGACCAGGGGATGCTCGAACCCATCTGGGAATCGGCCCTTGACCATAGGAGACCAGGGGTGATCTTTGGACTGGCCTCGGCTATCCTGACTGAGGTGAGGAGTCCAAGCTGCTGAAGCGCCACGACCGCGGGAACAACGCGCCTCGATCCACTAAACCGCCGGCTTCCTTGGTGTTGAGTCAGACAAGCAACAGACATGTGGGGGTTGATCTAAAGGTCTGTGACACATGGAACCCATGGGACGAGCTCTCCTGCTTTCCGCAAAATCCGGGACGTCTATCTTCCCCATGTCTTGGGGAAGTGATTTGATCCTAGCGAGCCAGGACCGTGGCTTGACCCCAGGACTCACAAGGTCTCCGCTTGCCATAAGGCTTGATCAACTGAGACTCCTTCCTGGCTCCGATTTTGTTCAGGGGAACCATGGTGATGTGGTTGGCAGACATCAATCCCCCACCTAAATGCACCAAGGGGTCCCCAAGAAAAGAATTCGTGCCAATGCCCCGCAAAAACAAACAGAAGGGCAGGGCTCAAGGCAAAAAGTTTGAAGCTGGGGTAAGATTTGTGGGTTGAAGAATCGTTTCTGATTCTTGCGGGAAGGGATCCCGCAGGGAACCATGAACATATATTATGACCATGACCCACATGAGGGGCTGCGACCAGGACACTTATGAAGGTGTTCTTTTCGGTGCTGTCCTTTTGCTTTCCTTGAAGAGCCTCCCAAAAAGAGGTGGTTTTCCCTCAAACAATTGGCCTACAATGGTGTGTCCGCCTAAGACGGGATGCCACAAGCCTGGGCTCGCTCAAGAAGCCCAAAGGGCGCTACAGGATTGCGAGGATACATGGGAGTAAATGGGAGACCCCTGCTGAACCACCAAACCACCAATCCAAACCACCAAACCAAGGGGGATTCTGAACTAGGTCCCCCAGTAGTGCCCTTTTACCATTTTTTTGGGGAGGGTCCCCTACTAAAATAGACTACAGAACAAGAAATCGGGTACCCTTATGCGAACCTCCCTAATGGAGGACCTAGTGAACTTCGGCCAAAACCGCCTGTAGGACGGAATGAAGACTCCTCTACATCAGCTGGCTTCCTGTGGGAACTGCAGTGGGGATTGCAAACTCCCCCCGAGAAAAAAAAACGGCCACGCCCCCTTGAAGCTGTGCAAAGCTCGCTACCGAAGTCTTAGAGCGGGGAAGTGGTTTCTTCCGGGGGCCCGAGGTGAAGACGGAGCGGTCACATTCGGAGGGCGACTACCAAGGCCTCGGGCGCCGATCGTGGCACGGTTATAGCTCTGCCTGTTTTATAGCGAGCTCACCGATTTCAGGGTACAACCAGCGAGAGCCAGGATAAAGGTCCTTGTTTCTGGAGTTGTGGTAACAAGAGCTGGCAGATACTTGTGTAGTTGGTGCAAACTGGCCGTGCAGCATGGGGCAGCTGGAAACAAGGGCAATGGGAAGTGATACCGTACCTCCCACCGACTAGCATGGAATGCACAGGGTCCTGTAGAAAGACTACTTTCCTCTTGGCAAGGGGGGGTTCTGCACTTCCATGCTAGTTGGTGGGAACTGATGCCGACAAAGCCGTTAACAGAATCCGGCTCCTGTAAAGGGGCATCGAAGGAGAGGTGGACTGAAGGCCCGCCCCCCTTTTGACCGAAGCATTGACCCTCGAAAGATCAGAGACCTTGGCCCAAGCCTTTTTACCCTTGAACCTACTGTGGCCAAGTGGGCGGGTCGGCGGCTCGAGTTTGGACCCGCGCGTTCTCATGACCGTGTGGGGAAACTGAGTGGCTAGGGGCGGGTTGACATCCTATCAAGGAAGGGGATGTTTGGACCACGGAACCATCCAGTTCCCGATGTTCAAGGCCCACTAGGAATTCACTAAAGGGTTCCCCGGGAGCCACAAAGAAGAAGCACAGTAGGAATTCACTACAGGGTTCCCCGGGATTTTGGATCCACAAAGAAGAAGCACAGTAGGAATTCACTAAAGGGTTCCCCGGGATTTTGGAGCCACAAAGAAGAAGCACAGTAGGAATTCACTAAAGGGTTCCCCGGGATTTTGGAGCCACAAAGAAGAAGCACAGTAGGAATTCACTACAGGGTTCCCCGGGATTTTGGATCCACAAAGAAGAAGCACAGTAGGAATTCCCCGGGAATGGAACAAAGAAGAAGCACAGTAGGAATTCACTACAGGAGCCACAAAGAAGAAGCACAGTAGGAATTCACTACAGGGTTCCCCGGGATTTTGGATCCACAAAGAAGAAGCACAGTAGGAATTCACTAAAGGGTTCCCCGGGATTTTGGAGCCACAAAGAAGAAGCACAGTAGGAATTCACTACAGGGTTCCCCGGGATTTTGGATCCACAAAGAAGAAGCACAGTAGGAATTCACTAAAGGGTTCCCCGGGATTTTGGAGCCACAAAGAAGAAGCACAGTAGGAATTCACTAAAGGGTTCCCCGGGATTTTGGAGCCACAAAGAAGAAGCACAGTAGGAATTCACTAAAGGGTTCCCCGGGATTTTGGAGCCACAAAGAAGAAGCACAGTAGGAATTCACTAAAGGGTTCCCCGGGATTTTGGAGCCACAAAGAAGAAGCACAGTAGGAATTCACTAAAGGGTTCCCCGGGATTTTGGAGCCACAAAGAAGAAGCACAGTAGGAATTCACTAAAGGGTTCCCCGGGATTTTGGAGCCACAAAGAAGAAGCACAGTAGGAATTCACTAAAGGGTTCCCCGGGATTTTGGAGCCACAAAGAAGAAGCACAGTAGGAATTCACTAAAGGGTTCCCCGGGATTTTGGAGGCACAAAGAAGAAGCACAGTAGGAATTCACTAACGGGTTCCCCGGGATTTTGGAGCCACAAAGAAGAAGCACAGTAGGAATTCACTAAAGGGTTCCACGGGATTTTGGAGCCACAAAGAAGAAGCACAGTAGGAATTCACTAAAGGGTTCCCCGGGATTTTGGAGCCACAAAGAAGAAGCACAGTAGGAATTCACTAAAGGGTTTTGCATAATTTAGCAGAGCACATGGTTCCTTTCTCAAGTGACCACGATTTCCATTCCAATCATTGCCATTCGGACAATTCATGTCCACATTATTCCGGTGCCAATCTACAAGGGACATCTCAGTTTATTTGTCCAGTCCATCCTCCTTCTTTCTTTTCGCATGGTCGTGGGAAATTGGGATTCAAAGTAAACTTATGTGATAAGGGAATCCCTCAAGTGACTAAGTTATAAAGCAGTGCGGACGGGAACTCCACTTTGGTAGAATGTCAAACAGACACGGTTATTCACGGACCCGTACAAGCGGCTATGGGGTGGGGGCTGGATAAGCCCAAGATAAGCCAAGTTGAGAAGCCCTTAAATAAGGCCTTATAAAGGGGTTGCCAAGGGATAGCCCTCCCCCCCTCCCCACAGTCTAGAATTCGATTTGGATGTGGCTTTTGTGGATCCACCCCTAAATACCAAAAGAGGACTAAAAGACTCTTGACAAAGGACCAACTGGGGAAGACCACAAAGAAACCTCATCCAAGCCGTTTTCTAGACATTTCCTCCCCCCCCCTCCTCAGGGGGTCCCTGATCTATTTTTTCCACGAGCTCCAGGCCGCGCCTTCTTCGATCAGATCGTGCTGGCCGAGCGCTATGCAGACCTCATTGGTCGAGACACGGCTGAATTTGAACCCCTGCCCCATTTTGCCCTTCAGAGGTGCAACGCACTTCCCGAGTCTTTTGGGCATACCATTTTAGTGGCACATACAAACAAGACTTTTGACGTTTTTTTGGCCAGTCTACTCAAGAATGGAGGCAAAGGGAATTGGGTTGGCTTCAATCAAAGGCTGAGTGTATAGGTCCATATATCAACCCTAGGGCCCTAGGGGTTCACCAGGGGTTTCAGCCTTTGATTTAAACCCCCACGCTTTTCCACCGCACTTGGGGCTGCCTTTGGATTTGCTTCCACGTTTGGACGCAGAGCTTTGGTCAAAAGGAATCGCCTATTTCAGGGTGCCCTTCTGGTTCCAGAATGTAATATTGTGGTGGCTTTCCTTGTGGTGCGTCCCAGTGCAGAGTAGGGCTTCAACAATGTTTGGTCTTGAACGCAACTCAGGGTTCTCTATATTTCCTCAAGCCCCTGGCCTTGCCGGAGCGATGAGAGTACGGTCCGGGGTCCAGATCTATGGCCGTTACGATTCAATGCAAAAGCCATGCCCAGTGGGTCCCAGGCAAGTCCATCTAGCCGGTAACCAGCTATTTTCCTTCTGTTTTTAAACGTGGGAGGTGGAAGGGCGCTCTTCATTGCCAGGTTGCCGGACTTTTCCGAAGATCCCTTTTGATTAAAAATTATGAAAGCTTTCACGAAGTGACAGCTCTGTCTTGCAAGCATGGCGGAGTGTTCGTAGCGTAATGCACGTTAGTTGGCCATGTTTGAGCTTGGTCTTTGCATCAACTATTGCACGGCTTGCTGGTCTCTGCCATGATTGTTGAATGTGGTGACATCGCCTGTCTCAAGTGGTGGGCAGGCGGGACCAACACATTTGTTCCCAGCTCTCCCTTCTGTCATTACGTGGAGCAATCAGACTCCAGATGAGCTGGTGGGTCCAGAAGCGTCTGAGCAAGAGCGTTTGGCCACTGAGCCGAGCAGGGCCCTCGCTGGCAATGAGCCAGCGTCACGCAACACGCTCTCTTTTCATGCTGATGAGGTAGCAGATTCCACGTGGCCACCGGCGGGGTCTCGAAGCATCCAAGGGATAGTTGTTGCAACTGCAATCGCTCGGGTTGCAGCCCACGAGGTGAAGATGCCTTGGGAGATTGGGCCGTTGGCTCCACTCTTTGGTGGGTCTTGGCCTTCGATTCCCGACTTGAGCGTGCAGACAGTTCCTACAGTTGGTCTAGCGGATGCCTTGCAAGCTTCTCAGACAGAGAAGGGCAGCGTGCCTGTAGTCACTCCTCTGAGCAACTCAGTCCTTCTTAAGAGGAGAATAGCTGCAGCAAAATTAACCGTAGCTGAGGACGAGCTAAGGACTCACTCATGCAAAGCGACCGTTATCACCTGGGCAGGGATGACTACATTGTTCACGCGCGAGGAGCGTACTCTGCTTGGGCATCACGTCGAGGCTGCCACTCGATCAAATGTCACTTGCAGCAGAGACGCACAGATCCTGCTACAGTTTAAGGTGGCCAGGATGGTGGCTATGCTCAAAGACGGGACTTTCGACCCGGACGCAATGTTGAAAGACCAAGAGGCTCTGGATGTCCAACAGCCTGTGCCGGCGCAGCAGGATGAGCTGGACCAGTCTGGTGAAGAGCACGGTGAGTCAGATGGTGACTCAGAGGACGTGGAGCCTTATCAGGTTGGCAGTTCATGTTTGACTGCAAGTACCAGGGGGACACTGCCTGAAGCACTCGTGTCCAGAGGCGTGTTTTCTCACGTGTGCATGTGGGCAATGATTTTCACTCGGACAGGCTCTTGTGTGGACGGCTGATTTCCATGAATCTTAAGCCCGTTCTGCCTGAAGAGATCGATGCCAATTCATGCACCTTTTGCATCCAACGCAATGCAATAGCAGGCCGCTAGTCCCTTCGAAGAAGGGTGCCGAAGAGGTTTGTCACCCACACGGGAGGTCGATCAGCGCCAGAAGCTGCGGCCGCATAATCCCGTGAGCCCCGCCGAAAAACATGAACCGGAGGGCGTGACAGGTCCTGAGTTTTGTGTGCAACTTGTCGACTTGCGTTGGCTCTCTTTCAATCGAGCCTAGCCATGCAGGGTTTCGTTCAACCTGTCACATGGCAAGTCGGGCACACATGCCGGTAATTCATTTTAACATTAACATGGCCCCACATTGCGGCAGGGCAAGTAAGTGCACGTGCATGATTGAGTGTGCACCATCTTGAAGACTCAATGACAAGGGACACACACTTTCATTGCATTTCATGCCACCCCAACCCTAATCGGTTTGTCTGCACGTTGCTGTTGGAACCTCAACAGTGGTGACGCACCAGCTCAGTGGCCTTTCATAATCGGGCCCGAGTTTGGCGTGACTGAAGCTGATCTGACGGCGCTGGATGCAGTGGGGGTCAGTACCTATTCGAAATATGCATTTTGCTGCGTATCAGCCCGGGGGATGGGGCTCTCTTCGAATTTCTGGAGCAAGCCTTGGGTGCTAGACCAGCGGGAGGCTCGGCTCCTGCTTTCAGACGTTTGTTCTTCGGGGCTCATGCCCTGGCCTTGCAGGATCTGAAATCCCGCTTGGAACGAGGTGATTCGGCGGAAACAAGGATCCTCCCACTTGCGGAGAAAGTTGAGCGAGTCAGGTTGTTGCGCGAAAGGCTCCCTGGACTGGTTCTGACTTTGCAGAGCGAACCCAGCCATTCTCTTATCGACAAAGCTGTGCAGCAGTTTGAAGATAACTGCATTCGGTATTTGGAGCCCGGCCGGTGCACATCACGTGAGCAGGAAATTCTGGCGGAGAAGCCTGCCTCCGCTCAGCTGTCCTTCGATTCCAATGGCATGATCAAGGTCAGCAAGGAGAACCAGCTCACGGAATGCAGCGTTTCTGGAGAGTTGAAGCTTCGAGCGGCATTCACGCGACGAGTGCTAGCCTACGAGCTAGCGGCCGTTGCATCGTATCAGGTGCAAGAGAATTGGGCAAACCTGTTGTTTGAACGTTTGGGAGACGCACCTCCGTCGGGTTTCAATCACGTCGGTGTTGATCAGCTGTTGGCAGCAGATCGTATGCTCTGGATCAAAGTTTCCGAACAGACCGTGAACGGGATGACGAATGGAGTCAAGCGTGTAGATCTGGCTATTGAAAAATGGTCTACGCACCCCGAGGTCCAGTTCCGCATCATGCCATTGCCCCTTGCTCAAGCTGCAAGTTCATCCAGGTAGCACCCTTATTATGCCCTGCTGATGTCTCCGAGGTGACCAGAGGCAAAGGCTTTCAGAAGGGTGGTCAGGGCAAGGACAAGGGCAAGTGGAGCGGTGGCAAGGATGCAGCATCTTACCAAGGCAAAATCCAAGTGCCCGAAGGTTGTGTGATCAAATTCGGGGATGGCAACAAGAAGCCAATTTGTATGAAGTTCAATGTCGGAGTTTGCAAGGCCAAGATAGCCTACGGCAAAAGATGCATGCACGGGTTCCACGTTTGCTGGAAGGCCGGGTGCCACAAGCCCGTGCCTGCCTCCGAATGCCTTCAGGAAGCAACTCCCGGCAACCAGGAGGCAATGCATGATTTTTAGATTTGTGTGCAGGATCAGCTGGGCTTTCGCACGCACGCCGTTGCGGCTTTCGCGTTATTGCAGTGGATCACGCACACAACAGGCATCGTGCCAAGGTCTCTGTCGTAGTCATGGAGCTAGCCCTTTCACACTATCAGCTGCTTATGAAAACCATGGTGGCTGATTTGCGCCCTTTTTGTATTCACATGAGATTACCGAGTTCGACATGCAGCAGGGCCAGAGAGCAAGCTCTTCCTAAGGAACTGCAATCCAAGTGCAAAACGCCCCTGCCCCTCAGGGACGTGTCCCATTTATTTGGATTCGAGTATTTGGCCGAGGCTGACCTGGCCAAGGTCGAGGCAGCAAACAACTTGTACAGATTCTCCGTAGAAATTCTTTTTCTGGCTTTTCAGATGGGCATCAAGATTGCAATTCAGAATCCAGCCAGGAGCTGGCTGTGGGCCATTTTGGCCGAGCTTGTGCGATCGCATCCCGACGCTGATTTTCGAAGGTGGTATGCCAGTTTGGAGCAAGTGGCTTTCAGCGCATGCATGCATGGTTCCAGGCGAAATCAGCGGACACGCCTACTCAGTAATTAGTCCTGGTCTGTTCAGTTCGCTTGCAGTTGACTGTGACAACAGGCACGATCATCTGCATCTGCCGTGGACCGTAGCTCAGCCAGGCTGTGGTCTACCTTTCGCCGCTGCGCACGAAGCAGAATACCCTCCCCTGCTATGCGCCCGCATGGCGCATTGTTTGCAAGCGGCGGATCAGGCAGATGGATATGTCTTGGACTCAGTCTTCTGCTCAGCGCGATAAGCATTTGCAGGGGAGGCAAACCGTCAAGTCCAGGCCATTGGTGCCGGAGTTCAAGGATTTTCTCCATGTGCCAACCGAAGTCACTCAACCAGGTCACAGGTTGCTGGCCACTCCACATGCACGGGAGACACTGCCAGAGTGGCCTTGTGATTCTGATGGGGATGACGGTCCATCAAAAGGCTCCGTCAGATGTACATGTGTGGAGTTCAGTGGTCTCCCGGCCAAGCAAGTGTTGCATCCCAGAGACCCACAGAGTGCGCTCTTGGATTCTACAAAGCAGGCTATCTTCGACAATCTCACAATGTCAGCTGTGGAGTTGGCGAAGCTAAGGTTGCGAGCGGTCTTGATGATCAAAGGCATTGTTTCCGACCTTGAGGACAAGGAGCGACAGCTCAAAGCTTCGATGGAGCCTGGACTCGGCGACTTTGAGCAGCAAACAATTTTTGGCGTGGCACTATGAGGACATGCAAGTAGTCGAGCTGGTCAAGCAGGGCATCACTTTGGATGGAGTGCACTCCTGCCCTCCTTGTTAGCCACCTGACTGGAAACCGGCCACGCTGCTTTTGGACACTGCTGTTTGGAGGAGGCGGGTGCTGGTGGCCGAGTGTGATGATGGTGATACAGCCCGGCAGCAGGCTGTGCACGAAACTACCTTGGCGGAGGTAGAGTTGGGTCATTTGCAAGGACCTTTCACGGAGCAGCAGATGTCTGAACATTTCGGCACAGACCATTGGCTGCTAAATCCACGCTTTGCAATTTATCAAGGTGAGGAGAAAAAGGTCAGGATCATTGACGACTGCAGAAGATCCTCCCTGAACTCGACGTACTCGGTCAATTTTCGTCTCGAGCTCATGGATGTGGACACGATGGCTTGTTTGATTGGAACAATTGGAGAAAGCATTGCCGCGGGAACTGCCTTGCTCAGCATGGCCGACGGGACTGTTTTGCGGGGTGATGTTGTGGAAGCGGCAGCGAAAGGCTCATGGATGGGCGTGGAAGTTTTGCCTTTGTGGCGTATTGCCTTTTGGAGCAGTGGCGTCGGTTTACGGCTTTAACCGGCTGAGCCGATCGCTCCACCACATTTTGTCCCACTTCCTCAGGGCAATGTGTACTTTCTTTTACGATGACTTCCCGACCATCAGTCTGGAGGCAAGTGCTCCGATTCTGACTTCGGCTATTTCAACTGTCCTGAATTTGCTTGGCTGGGCCCACGCCCAGGTGGGCCACAAGGCGGTTGATTTCGCTGCCGAATTTTCGGCGTTAGGCGTTGTGGTGCAACTGGGTCGCTTAGACATAGGGTCTTTTGCGCTGGCTAACAAAGGACCAGGGTTGAGCGAATTTGCAAAATGCTCCAGGCAATCAAAGATCACCGAGCTCAGGCAGCGGAGGTACAAGGGCATCTCAACTTTGCTTCGGGGTTTTACGTCTCCCGGGCTTTGGGCTTCCTCGTGGCCTCTTTTGATCGCATGGTTGACATGCCCGCAATTTCGAGTGAGGAGTTGAGGCAGCTATGTGACCTGGCCATGTGCATGCTTCGGTCATTGAAGCCTCGTGTCTATTCTGTCGTGTCGGTGAAGTTACCTATTCTAATCTTCACTGATGGCGCCTGGGGGAGCGGCGTGGCTTCTGCTGGTGTAGCCATGTACTTTCCTCAGGAGGGCGGCGGCGTTGTTGCGTCAATCGCTGTGCCGGATGAGCTTGTGAAGCTCTGGCTCGATGAGGTAGGTGACCGATTGATCTGCCAAATTGAGATGTTTGCATTTCTGGCAATAAGATGGATTTTCAGTGACGCCCTCTCCAATCGTTTCACAATTGCATGGATCGATAATGATGCTGCTCGGCTTGCCTGCGTCAAAGGGACTTCCCGTTCAGTTTCCCTGCAGGCCATGGCCAGAGTCCTGCAACATCTTGAGGCGCAGGACACATCTCTGGTCTGGTATGAACGGGTGGCATCTTTTTCAAACCTGGGCGACATGCCCTCAAGGGGCAAAGTGAGGGCATCCGCCACTCTGCTGGGTCTCAGAGAGTCAGATCCTTTTCGGGTCCCTGACGCACTGATCAGGGCTGTTTTTCAGTTGCATGCGAATCCACTCAGCTTCCCTTGTGTGCCATTAACAGGGGCCAACTCCGGGCACACGTAAGCTCGGGAATCAGTTGGACATTTGCCCCTGCTGTCAAAATGGCGCGCTGTGAGATTTGAAGGCATGTCGCAGATATCTACATTTACACATCTCATTTTTGACGTTTTGAATTGACAACTTCATGTCTCGCTTTGTGACATAATCTCAGACGCGGACTAACTTGCATCAGCGATGCAAGACACCCTCCCTCCCACTAACATGGAAGGTGACAGGGGGTCCCTCCAAGAGGAAATTAATTTTCTTGGAGATTCTTTGCTTGCAGGTTTTTTTTGTGAGTTAGAGTTGTTTGCCCAGATCCCCGGATTGTACCAAAGAAACCGTACATGGAGGGGGTTGGGGCTCAATCCCACTGCAACCGTGGGGTCCGAGTGCGACTCCCAGAAATTCCATCCCAGGATCCGACAAGCTGCTTGACAATGAGCCCCTGATGCCACGCAGCCGCAATGGAGGTGAGCAACAGCAAGCATGTTGCAACAACAGCAGCCTCTGAAGCTGTCGCATTGTCGGTTGTCAGTTGTCAGCGAAGTGGCGATGTATGTGCGAGTGAGTTTGTCGCTCGCTCTCCTGTTCTATCTCTTGCTCATTCTTTGTTTGTGTTCCTAGGAGCCGCTTCATAACCTCTACATTTCGGGGTCTCAATTTCAGAGGGGTTGTGCCTCGTTCAGGAGGTTTTGGCTAGACTAATTAGGAGGTTTCTTGCAGTTTCCAGGGGGTTCCTTTGCAAAATCAAGGCACGTTTGCTGCTGACAATGATCGGCAACGAATCAGCTGTTGTTTCTAGCCGTTGGCCTCTCGATTGTTAGTTTGGTTTAGTTTTTTGGTTAATACTGCCAGTAGAGCCGGCAACGCTGCTGGGCGGAAGTTTCAAAACACGATCTATGGTTGTAGCTTTTGTTTAAACAAGAGTAAACAAAACAGACCAAAAAAGCTAAGTAACAAACAGCTTAACAACTATTAAAATCAGCAAACCTATTTATCGAGCAATGTGTGTCTGTTCATATCTATGTTTGTGTTTTGTTTTCTCTTTATCGTTATCTGTATCTTTATTATCTTTCTCCCTATCTTTGTTTATCTGCTTTTCCTTTATGTCTTATCCTCTTCATTTGTTTTGTTTTTCTTGCTCTTTCTCTTTCTTTATTGTTTCTCTCTCTCTCTCTCTCTCTTGGTCTTTCGCGATCTCTGTATGGTTATCTTTTTACTTTGTGCTTTTCCTCGCTCTCCAACAAGGCCACCAGTACTCCGCCTGCCTATGTGCGTACCTCGATAGGGACACACAGTGATACACACATATATATATATATACATGTTTATCGATCTTTCCATTTTTCTGTCTTTATATCTAGCCATCCAGCTATCTAGCTATTTGGCTACCTGTCCAGCTATCTAATCTATCTGTGTATCTACCTATCTATCTATCTATCCATCTACCTACCTATCTGTCTGTCTGTCTGTCTATCTATCTATCTATCTATCTATCTACTTGTCTATCTATGCCTATCTATGTCTATTTATCTAATCTATCTTATGTATCTATCTATCGATCAAGCGGTCCGTCATTTACCTACCTACCTATCTAATCTGTCGGTCTATGAATCTATAACTATTTATCCTCTAGCGACTGTCACTTCCCAACTCCAACGAGCCTTGGTGTCCCTTGGTTTTTGTTGGCCTTTTGGTTACTTTGGCATTCTATTATCACCAACTTGCATCTTGCAAAGTGTTTTTGTTGCATTGAGATGCTGCTGAAGGGAAGGGCCGGAGGCCCTGGATGGCCCCTTGAAGGTTCTTGAGGGTTCTGATGCGCTTGTCTGCAGCACCTTCAGTCTAACATGTCCAGCGACAAGGAGGTATCAAACAGGGGTCCGATGTGTGCTTGTTTCTGCAGTGACGCCAGTCAAGATGCATGTTAAGCCCAAGACATTTTGGGCGTCTATTTGGTGGGCTCGGAACCCATCGGTTCGCAAGCCTGGTTTGGTTCTTGTCTGCTTCTCAGGCCAGTGCCGGAGGGTGCATACCCAGGGCTCCTCGGGAAGATGGATGGGGAGAAGGGTTTGGTCCTGCGCGAACCGTCAAGGGTTGCCATATGGCTGTGGGTCAAAAAGAGGGTAACCCCCAAATGGAACCCTGGCAAGTGGAACCATGGACCAAAACCTGTGGTCCCCTGGTGGTTTGATTTTGACCCATACCCATATCAATATAGAAACAAGTATTGAACATGTGTTTGGGGCATTTACATTCCGTTTGGTCCTTGGGGTTCCATGGGTTGAAATTGAATGTTTTCCCGTTTTTGTTGGGGGGGGGAGGATTCTGTCACAGCGGTGGTACAAATTTTGTCGAATGGTATACATGAATGAAGTTGGTTGCCTCTAACTGGCTCACCAGGTGCCAATGTTTCACTTTGAGCCGAGAGGTGATCCACAACCCAAGATGCAGGTGAGCAAGGGGTAATGCTGATCCCATATTCATCAACCCCAGTTGATTAGTACTCTGGATGGAGGTCGTTCATTTTGCATCATCATTCGACAACAAACATTGGCGCGTCCGCCCAAAAGAGGCTGCCCTGTGTTTAATCTTCTTAGCATGGGGTAAACCAATTTTGATGCCAGGTGTTGATTATGACTCAGGCGAAGGCCTTGGGCAACTCTGAAAGGTCAGAGGTTCGACGGAAGCAACTGATTGACTGCCATGGGTGCCGACCATATCGCCAACGTATGGGTGCGACTGTTTCTGGGGGGAAACCCAAAAGAAACCAAGCAATTTGGGGGTGCCCTTACATCCTTGAACGCATACGCACATCTCTACTCAAGTTGGAACAAGCTCACCTAGGGTTAAAATGAGCGATTCCATCCATGATCGAAGGTGAATCGTGGGGAGATCTCTGATGTCATGTTTGGACATAGTGATTTGTCGTCATACAGATATGATCGTGTAGGCTGCTTCATAGTTTTTGAGGGCACGGGGCCCCATTTTGGAGAACCAAAAATGCGTGGGTGGCTTTTAATGGGACGCTTTCACAACATCGTTCTGGGGTGACCTAATGCATGAAGCAACCTTGAAGAGCCGTTTTACAGCGAGGGCTTTGGATTTGGCTCAGGGAGGCTTCATATCTAGCAGAACGATGCGATTCATTGGTGGCAAATGCATAAGGGGGGTGGGGGTCGAGCCTCATGATCTCCAGTTAGCCGAAGATGTGCTTGATCCAACAACTTCCGTTTTGGCAATGAGGCAGATTCCCACCAGCCGCGTGCCAGAGGAGGAGGCTTGCTTGCATCCGGTGACCCAGCGGGTTGCTTCCTTTCAACTGATTTGGAGGGGTCTTCCTGTGGTTTTGTTCTTGTGAATAACTGAGTTGGTTGGATGTATGGTTTGGAGTCGGACGTTTTTTTAGCAAAAGAAAGCGGGGCCCTTTTTTTCCCATATTTCAGGAGGTCTGCCTGCGCATGGACCCAAGGTCGTTCGGCCGCTTGATGCTTGACCGACGCCGATATTCCCGTCATTCGACGCCCGTTAAAGGATACATTTGTGCCAGAAGATCTTCTTTACCAGCGATGATTCCCTTGTGAAGCAAGTGGTTTGTGGATGTATCCGTTCAGGTTCCAATTGACCCCGAAGCCTTGCCTTGAGCCAAGTGGGTCAAAGCGGACTTGGGTTGAGTTTGGACCGCTTAATGTCGGGGGCTTTTGTGAAGGCAAGTGAAAATGTGCGGGGCCCACGGCTCTTGGCAAGCTGCATCCTTGAGTTGCTTGCAAACATTCCGAAATTTGTTTGGTTGTGAATTAGGGCATTGGGATGCCCCCCCCTTTTTGAAAGTGAACAACATGCTTCCCCTTTGGGTTGTTTACCCATTCTCTCCTCTCATTCTCTTTAGAAACCACAACCATGTTTGAAGAGTCACAGTTGGATGGCCAAAACACGGTCAACAGAGACGGTTTTTTTAGCAAACTCTGGCAAAACGGTTTTCAAAACGGTATGGAATCCGGTTTCACGTGAGGCTTGGAAAACCCAACAGAGGATGGCTTTTTTGTTCGACCCTTTTGAGACCCCACACACACACAACAAGGGGCACGTGTACTGATGTCCGAAGCCATGCCACAAATCAGCAGGTTGTTGATGCCAACCTTGCCCAACACATATATCACATGAGCGAGTTCCGACGAGAGCTCAAGTTTAATGAAGCAGCTGGCCTTTACTTCACTCTGTGTTCGGTTGTGCAGCCAAAGCATCTTGCCAACATGGGCTATTCTTTCAGCTCAGGCTTTCACCTGCCTGAAACAAGTCGAACAGCCCCTGGTTGTCTGGGGGTCAACTGAGCCCAGCCAAGCAGCCTGGCCCGCCAAGAAACCTCAGCCAACAGGTCCCCCTGCAATTTCAGGGTTCTTCATAGGTCTCCGATATTTCCGGGCAGGACCTTCCAACCTTGCTGGGATCGGCAAGGAGGGCGCCGGAGATGCGTGAGAAGGCATGGATTGAGTGAGAAGGCATGCACTTTTCATGGGTGTTTCTGCAAACTTAGGGAGCTCTAGGGGTGGCTGGTTTCCCGTTGATTTTCTATTTGCTCCTGGAGGGGTTGCTCTCCAGTAAAGTTTCCATTTCAAGAAATCAGAGGGTCTAGTGCCCCCATTTTGTGACAGGCCCACATCCAAGCATCCGAGGGCCTGGCAGCGGGCTTTCACTGTGACAGTCTTCAGAAAAACATGGGGCTTGATCAAAAGGTCCACACAATATGATATTTCCCACTAAAAGGGACAAGTTACCCAGGCCATTCGGGGGCCAGGAATGTTGATCAATCCCCACATGCTGTCAGAAATTCCCGCAAAAGCTACTGGGAGTCAACCACAGGACATCCCTTAAGGAGGCCGTTTTTCATATTCCCGCTGAGCCTCCATTGCCGACCAGGATCGGCTGAGCAAGACTTCGCCCAGAACTTCTCCCAGAGATGTGCGGAGCAAACTCTCTCCCAGAACCTCCCCCAGAGATCGGGAGTTCAAGGCGCGGGAGCGCTTCACGGTTGGACAAATGTAGAATAAAAAACCATGTGCAGAAGCTCGGGTCTCGCCAACTCAGGTTTTTAGGGTAGACTAAACATATGGAGCAGAGTCCGACCATCTGTGATTTTCTGTGTTATCCAGATGTGGGCTAAGGAATACTGGTATACAGTCCAACAAATTGCCAGTGTTGTTCCAATTCAGTTTGAATTGGAGCCTGCAAATACTTGAGTACATGTTGCTACCAGGCCAGGATTTGGGAAGAGGGGCCATCTTCTCAGTCGTGTCCGGGTATGGCCTGGTTTAGACTTGATTGGCATTAATACGGCCTTTATAACGATTGAAGTGGTGGATGTGTTTTCCTTTTTTGGTGGGGGATTTGTTGATCTGAGCACTTGAGCGCAGGTCTTCACATGTGCGGAACCACGCGCAAGGGATTTGTTTCGCGGAAGGCTTCCTTGTTGGCCCAGGATGTGGACGGGTTGGAAGCTTGCTTCTCTTGACTTGGCTCTCAAGCAGGATGTGAGAAGATGCCGGATACATGTCCGATACTAGTTGCGCGGCCAGGCATCGGTGGACAAGGTCGCTCAGGAGCCGCAAGGTTGACCTTGCGGTTGATTGCACTGCACAAGGCTGCTTAAGCATATGGCTGACCCAGGATGAAGGTCCTTTGGTATCCCTTCATTGCGGTTTGGAGGTATAGTCATAGTACTTTGCCGGCAAGTGTCACGTGGAGCTCAGCATGACATTCAAGACGAGAACGTAGGCGGCACCAGAAACGTGTCATGTTTTCCCAAGAGTCATTCGCTTAAGAGCGTCTTGTTATGTTCCCCTGTTGGTTCTCAAGGAAATCGATTTCACTACTGTTTATGTAAGTTACCCTGGAAAACATCAGAAGACACCTGTACGTGATTTCAACGCGTGCCGCGGGGAAAACCGAAAAACAAGAAAAACAGCCGGCACCTCTCCTTGCGGAGGACTCAATGTCCTTTGGCCGCTTGTTGCGGGAGGCGCAGGCCACGATCCAGGCCAGTTTGGCGAGCCCTGGGGGGTGGGTCTGGAGTGGGTTTCGGGTAGCCGGAAAAATCGGGTAGATGAGCGGGTAGCCGGACAAAACGGTGTAGATGAGGGTTAGTATGGTCTGAAATATGCGAGTGACGTGCTCAAAAGATCAAATGGCGTGTGGAATCCGATATCCGCCTTTTCCAATTCTTGGAACGTGAGTAGACAATGACAATACCGATCGGTTTTGATTATGACTCTTTTCGTTTTTCCCCGAAATGGTTTTGTTTGGTGGTTTGCAATTTAGGGGGGCACGTTCGCCATTTTAAGTTTTGGTTTCAACAGGGAGGGGTAGCTGACCTTTAAAGATGCCCATCCGGAGAGGGGTTTGATGGAAGCGCCGACTTGGACACATGAAGGCCTTGTGGATGACTCGGGTGAGTGAGTGAATATGGACGGAATCCGAATATTACGGGGGGACTATACTTCGGGCAGAGGGGGAGACCTGTCCCAAAAAGAGAAGCCATCGAAGATGTGGGTTTGTCTTTTGTCTGAGGGTCCCCCCCAAAATGGTAGTTAGTTATACAGACGGTTTGATGTTGGAAACAGCCTACTCCTGAAGATTGTGAGCAACCCTGGGCCCCGAAGATGCAACGCCTTTCTATGTTCTTTGAATGCTCCCTCGAAACGAGCCTTTGGCCATCGCGGTGAGCAGTACATACCCCTTTTGCCAGAGAAAAGGGTATAGGGTCAAGGGGTTTAGGTGTATGGTCAAAGAACTTAGGATCAGTGGAACTTGTACTTGAGTTGTAACCCACACAAGCCATGGTTATAAGCTCCGTTCAGTGGGTATAGCCAGGCTTACTAACTACTTACCTGACGTACCGAATCGATCGCCCGTTTAAGTCGGGTTGGTTGGGCAAATCATGTGTCTCTTTGTTGAGTCTGCCCCTGATTTTGGTCATTCTAACTAAAAGGCAACCAGAAGGCAAACCACAATTTTTGGGGCTTCCCCCCCAAAAAAAAAAGAAAACACCTGTGACACCATTTCGGGCTCACCAGTTGTACTTCCATTGGGCAAGAAGATGCGCCATGCCCCCGACCTTCAGATGTGCGTGCCAGGCAGGCCATGGCTCCCGCACCAGGCGGGCCAGGGATCCCTGACAGAACCATTCCCATCCATTGCTTTAGAGCATTTTTTGATTTTCTCTTGGTTGTAAAGGGAATCTATCACTACTGGAAATATGTTTTTATTTGTTTCCTGGCTTATAGTTCCAGAGGAGACCATCCTGAGTGGACCAATTTGTTTAGCGTGGTTTAAACATCTCACTTCCCCAGTTCCGTTTCGGACTTCAGTCACTTCTTGGGAAGACCGGTTGAGTGGAACTCAGAAAGTTTCGGACTCTTTTGGGCCCACTTAGTCATGAAGTGAGACATCAGGACGTCAGCGGTTGGCCTTTGGCATGTGTTTTGGGTGAGCTTTAGGGATGTGGATTGAAGTAGATAGATACTTTTCTTTTGGGTTCGGGGGCATTCTTGAAAGCATTCCAAGGGGTTCCTGGTCCAAGGGCCTCAAATTCCTGCAAAGGGGCACGAAATCCGCAAAAAACTCTTAGGAGCCCCAAGGATCTCAAAGCAGCACAAGCAACTGAACAACTCAAATCCAAGCCCCAAAGAACGACTCAGGACTTGGACGGTTGGATCGGGATCAGGCGAGTCGCAAAATGGCCCCGTCGAATGTGTCTATGCATGCTGTGTATTTTGCGGTCGGTAGGCAATGAACACATAGTGGGGTAACGACAAAAACACGGGGGGTGTTTGCGGCTCATGCGCGGATCCTGTGGCTTCTGTGTGCCCAAGGTATTTCTACTCATGAACTTTAGTTTCAGCGCTTGCAAGCCCAGCAACACCTACCGAAAGAAGTCATATTTTTGGGGGGGCGTTCGGGCCTTGCCTCGAGTTACTCTTCCTGCAGTTGGATGGGGGACAACATGTTCTCAGTTGTTCAGTGGCACCCTTTTTCTCTTTTTTCAGTGGCTGCCCCACTAAAAGTTGTGTTCCCCAAACAGGGTTCCCTTTTTTTCTCCAGGGTCACTGACCAACTGAGTGCTCGCAACTTGGGGGCCGGAAGCGTTCAGGTTGCTTCACGAGCAGCTGGATCTGTTAGAGGAGAAGCCGGGCGCTGAGTCGCTGAGTTCTGTCAGGTTGAGTCCAGGTCATCGGCACACGGCTTTTTGGGGGGGAGGCAACCCAAAATGGAACTCAAAAGGTGGCCCAAAAAAAGGGTGGCCCCGGTTTTCTGGTTGTTTCGTTTTGGGGTCTGGACTGTCACACCGGGTAAAGGGCCATTCACCGGGCGGTATTCTTCGGGCTCCGTTTGCCTAGGTGATTTTGATCCCAGGCCCCTTGGGTCATGGTCAACCCCGTTCCTTTGGGCTTCTGGGTGAGCAAAACGCCAGGAATGCCAGGACTTGCTTTATCCACTCCTTAATTCTCAGAATTGCCAAGGTTCTGGGAATGAACCTAGGCATCCCCTGAAGTCAAACACGAGATGATTTGCAAGTGTGATTCTAACTCATTCCCGACTGAGAACTAGCAAGTTAAGGATGGATTTGGGAGTCGGTCCCATTTTCCCTTTTATGGGGAAGTGAGCGGAGCACTGCTGAAGCGCCTTGTCCTCGCTGAGGACTCGGCAACTCAGCAGCGCGGCGGACGACGCGAGCTTTGTATCAGGCACTCGCGGCCAGCTCGCATCGTTCGCTGGGAGACGCATGCGGCGTGCAATCGATTTGCCGCGAAATCGCCCTAGTTTAATTTGCGCCGTGCAAAAGAACAACCGCCCATCCAGCACCCTTTGACTACTGTTAGTTTCGGGTTTTTCCCCCAACAGCTGAAAGCTTGGGGTCTCAGCCCAGATAGGCTCCGGGGTGATCCGGGGCGGCCCTGAGGTAAGGTTCCACGAGGTTTCCACGAGAGGGTTCCACCAGGGTTCCACGAGGGCTGCGGGGTGATGCGAGCACTAAAAAAGAGCACCGCATGCTGTTGGGGATATCACCTTGAGCTTATTTGCTACCGTCTTTTTAGCAGCAGTTCCGAAAATGCAATGAAAGACAGTAGATCCCCGATTCACGGTGTTCTTTCCAAAACAGTTTGAAAACACAAAAACTTATATCCCTACCCCTTCCCAGGCCCACGGGGTGGCACGCACGTGACACGCAGTGACATGCAGGTGACACGGGGTGACACGGAGGCGACACGGCGTGACAACCAAGCGACACGGCGTGACAAACAAGCGACACGGGGTGATACGCAGGTGACATACAGGGGCGGAACGGGGGTGACACGGAATAACACGCAGGGTGACACGCAGGCGACACAGGGTGACACGCCAAAACCACGCTTGTTCGCAGCCGTGTTGTTCTAGCATACTGACATGGGGCCGACACGGGGGCGACACGGGGGCGACACAGTGACACACCAGTGACACGGGGTGACATGGGGGCGACACGGGGTGACACGCAGGTGACACAGGGTGACACGGGCTGAAACGCAGGTGACAGGCAAGTGACACTCGGTGACGCGTTGGTGACACGCGGGTGTCACGCTGTGAGGCGCCTGCTGCACTTGCTGCCACCCCTAGCAATATGGGCATCCCGCAAATCGAATAATTAAGAGTTGTTGTTGCCTTTTGTCGGAAATTATTTCTACTGCCCCCCCAGCAGAAGTTGGGGGGGTGCTGGATGGTGTAGAAGTTGTTCTACCAACTGATTTCTGCATTCTACCAGAATCTGAAATGGTGTTTGCTTAGTTTCCAGGCCCCTTGCGCCAACCTGAAGCAATAGAGATGGGATGTCACATTAAGCTGTTATACATCTAAATTTTATGGGTTTGTTTTTAGAGGTTGGACCCCCCCAAATGGTGGAGTCGTCCTGCTGGATTTCTTTCAAAAATGGACAGTCCCATATCATATATATATATATATATATATTATTGTTTTACTACGCTAGAAGTGCGCAGTGTTTCCTCATGTTCAGGTTGTTGTATGCTGTCATGATACCCTACAAGTATGTGGTACTTTCTCATGTTCCACTATCCTTACAAACATCATGTCGACTCAAAGCCATGGATTTCCTCTCCGATTTTCTAGGTCTTAGTCCAGGCACAACGCATTTCAAGTCCCAAGAGTTTCCCGTGCGAGCTCGTTTGACCTCGGTGAACGTGCCTCACACCTGCGCCAGGTGAGCCATCGCACAATGAGGCAACGAGACGTTGAGTCGTCCGGGCAGACCCGTTGGCGGGGTGGATTGTTGTTGTCCACAAATGGGGTCGTATTTAGCCCGGCTCATGAAACAGGGGCCCTAGATGGCCGAATGAAAGGCACCAGCAGCTGTTTCAACGGTTTTTTTAAAAGGGACCTGTCAAAAGGTACTTCCCCTCAGTCGTAGCTTTAGACTAGGATACGGACTTGCTCGTCTTGTAGCGCAAGCGCATGCCCAAGTCAACCACACAAGCCCAACGCGAATCGACCCGAAATGACCTTTTGTTTATCCTGCGTTGGTCCAAAACTTGCCAGGATCATAAAAGGTTATTTAGCCGTTTCTTTGCCAAGGCCCTTTGTGCAACTGAGTCGGAGGTGAAGTCGATCCAAATTGGCTTCGTGGCTTCACTGAGGTCCACAAGGTGCAGAGACGACAGGCCTTTGACCTTATCAAGAGACGCTGGGACAGCATTTGGCGGGTTGGGGGCTGTGGCTTGAAGTGTGTGCAATACACGGCCCTTTCTTCTTCGGGGGTGGCAACGAACAAAGTGTTTGTTTAGTTTTGCTCACCTTCCAAAAGTTGGGCTGTTTTGCGTAGCTGGCCTGCGGACAACGCAGCAGAAACAAATCCGGATTTACAATTTAGGTTTTCACAGCTTTGACAATTTGAGGCTGGAATTGGGGGTTCCGGGGATGACCCCGGGATTCTCAGTTGTGCAAAAGGGACGAACTCTCTTGATCTTGTGGTTTCCCTGACTTGGTAGGTTGACCTTGTATTTCTTGTGCTTTGTGCAACTGAGGATTCCATTGGTATGTACTTCATGTAGTTCGGCGTTTCCATTGGTAGGGACGCCTTGTAAAATGGAACAGTTCCACCGGTTCCTGATGTTCAATGCCTTCTCGTGCCCCAGGCAATAGCATAACCCTACTATACCCTGCTTTCTGGGGGTTGGCTGAGGGGCTTGCTTGGTGGGTCTACTGCGTGGTTGATTCCGGGGCTTATGGAGGGCTTTCTGGTGGCTTTGCTGCTGGGTTTTCCAGGTGTGGCGTGGAATCGCCTAGGGGCTCGGCTAATCCGACGTTGTGAGTGAACTCGCTAACTACTTAGCTAACCGACCGTCCAAGAGATTGAGTCTGCCCGGAGGTCCGGGCACGGGGCGAAGGTCCCAGGCTTGAGCCTCATTTGCGCTCTTCTGGTTGCCGCCTTGAAGGTTTCGCAGGGTTGCCCCGAACCGCAAGCCAAGGCCAATCCAAGGAGAACAACTGCACTGCATGGGTCCCACCGAGCTCCTTCCCCGCAATGTTCCAGCTTTCCACCCTACGAGGTCTTTAGAGCCGCTTTCCTGATTGGAAACAGGGCACTCCGGGCTCAGCAGGTGTCACAGGGGTGCCCCAAAATGGCGTGGCTCTCAATTTAAAGTCCCTGAAGCCCAAGGTGAAAAGAGAACCCTCAAAAACCACAAACCCGCACACTTACACTCAGTCCCAAGCCGACCTTTAAACCTGTTGGTTTCCCCTTTTTGGCCCATTTTTAGCAATGCTCCCAAAAGGTGATCCCCCTGCATTTCCGGGTCCTTTGGGCAGCTGAGTGCACACTTGCCGGCCGACGCTTCGCGTTCGGTGCGCGCCGATTTTTTCGAGGAGGAAGTGGGTGGCGGACGCATCCCAACTTCTCGCAGGTCTAGGCGGGAAAGCCTGAAAGCCTCAATGTATAGGTCCATGTTTGTCTAGGTCCCCCAGTAGTGCCCTTTTACAATTTCTTTTTTGGGGGAGGGTTCCCCTACTGACCACAGAAAAATGGAAACCCTTATTCTAACGATTCTAACCTCTCTACTGGAGGACCTAGTTGTGTGTGTGTGTGTCTTTTGGGGGGCCCCAAACAATTTGTTGTAAAGTTGTTTCCTGGTTTGGTGTGTCCTTTAATTAGGGGCACCCCCCCAAATGGCGGCTGTCCCCTTTTGGGGTCCCTTTAACACCTACCGAACAATTGGGGCACCCTCCAAAAAAAAGACAGACTCATATGTGGACCCATGGCCATGTTGGACCCTTCGGCGGATTTCCCATGAAGCCATAGCTAGTGCTCAAGGAAGCCAGGGGTTCATACCGGAGGCATGGATGTATTCATTCAGCCTTTGACCTCCTTGTTTTTTTTTTGTTTTTGTTTGTTTGTTCTCTCTTCCTTTGTTTTCCCTTTGTTTTTCGGTAGAAGCAATATGAAGCATGATGTTCACATATGACTCTGGAGATAGTTCGCCAAAGTGTTGGCCAAGGTCCCTACCCTAGGAATGTGTGGAATCCGTGTGGGTCTCGGGACGGGCGCGCGCTTTCCGTCCTAAGTTGTGGTGCTGCACCCAGATGTATGCATTTGCATCGTGTGTCTTTCAGGAAAGGTTCGGGCTATGCCACGGTTGCATGGTTGAGGACTTTGTGTGGCAAAGTAACTTTGGGGAATCGGAGATTAGTTTTGAAACAGCCCCGGCATGATTTGAGGCGGCAGCTTCTGACTTGGTTATCTCCTCCCCCAATTGGCTAGCAAGCAGCGAGCCCAAACCCTGACTTGGGACAGTGACGCTTTAGGCCAAGCATTTTTTGAGAAGGGACCCGAAACTTCTGAATCCTCCCCCAATTGGTCAGGAGCCAGAGGGCCCAAACCAAAGCTTGGGCAGACTCGCAGGTCAAGGACCTTGAGGTCGCTGGTGCTGAAAGGCTCGGCATGGAGAAATTTGGGCGAGCGTTGGACCCTCCAACTCTCCTTGAAACACCGGGATCTTGCGCCAGAATGGGCGAAATATTGTTTTTCGCTTTGGTTTTTTTTGAGGGTCCAGGCGCGGCTTTCCTCCAGCACAGTTTGAAGATGATTCTGAAGGAATGTGGTCGAGCCATTTCCAGACATGTTTGGCATTTGGGTTTGTGTTTTTGGGTTGTCCATGCCAGCAAGTGCCAATGCGTTTTCGTTCCACGGCGAAGCCCGTGTTATTTCGGCTGTACGGCATCCCAGTCCAGGCAGTTTGGATGCAACTCTTGGGGATCCATCCTTGTCGCGCAGAGTAAGTACCAGGCGTCCTTTTGAGGATTTGTTTGGTCAAACTAGATGGCACTGGCTTTGATGGATATTTGTCCATTTACGAGGGCCATCAAAAGGCCAACTGCGACCAGAGCAGAATACAAAGGACAAACAAGAACTTGTGGAATCCAGAAGCGCATCCAAACCGTGGTCTAGACTCTGGGCTGTCTGTTCTTGCCGGCCTTGCGGCCCTCAGTGAAGCAAGGAGGGATCCATCTTCGCAAGATGGCATGCATCCCCCTCAAATGGTGATATTTGGCCGGGAAATGGTATGAACTTGTATGACCTTTTGTCCTTGAGGGAAGAAGCGACATCCACCCTGTTGATGGACAGCATGCATGACGTATCTCGTGGCCGGCGCGGAATTCGTTTTCTCGGCCAAGCCTGCAAGGCACCAGGCCGTTGCTGGAGGCATGGGGACCTGTTTTTTTGTTGATTTTCCCAAGCGGACTTGTTGACTCCACATTTATCAGGTAACTCCCAATTGGTGGTTTGAATTGGTTTGGGGATTCGAACCCTAAACAGTTGGTTTCACCCTCAACCACCAGACAAGCCAGCAATTAGAGGGCAGCTGGATATAGGTCAAAGCCAGCTTTCACCTGGAGAACGCGGGTAAACCAACATAAAACGAAGCAAAACCGCAGTGTCCCCATTCCAAGGAACTTGTCCACCCCCGCTGGAGCTTTGCTCGGCACGGAGCTCTTGGATGAATCGTGTTCGGGCGCGGCGAAAAGCGCAGGGGCGGTGATTTCCTGTACCACTGGGGGGGAGTTGTCAAGGTCCTTTCACCTCGCGGCGGCCAGCCTGAGGCCTAAGAGCCATATTCTTGACAACTCCCCATTCAATTCGTTGGAGCCTTAGGAGCTCCCTTTGCATCGAAAAAGACATCGGCAGCGAGCGCGACCGATCGACTGCCGCGCAGGGTCGCCGTAAGTCACCGTCTTTGTTTTGGCTCCGAGAAGACCAACACACGAGGCCACGAGGGCAGAACATTAGTTTCGCGTAGGTTCCATTGAAAATGAGAAATTCCTTTGGCGAAATGGGTGGTGTTCCCTCCGGGGAAAGGATGAGGAACTCTGGGGTACGTGTCCTTTTACAGTCACAGCTGTTACCTGTTTCACTGTCATTTGCTCGGCAAAGAGGCTTGCTGATTTCGGTGCAAGATATAGGGGCACAAAAGGCGGGGTTCAAGTGAGCCTCGCCGTTGGCGCTTTCAGCCTTCTTTTGCCTTTGTTTTCCCCTGAGGCTTAACGAGCCTAGGCCCTAGGCCTTGGCATAATTTGGGTTTTTAGGGAGATTAGTTGTCCTTACCCATTGTTCAGGAACACTCTCCTGCCTGAGTCTGAGAAGCTAGCTACAGGAAATTCTACCGGACATCCTCTTGCTTTTGTGCGTTGGAGCAGTTTCCCTGCAGAATTTCCTTTCTCGCTGATTTCTATGATGGCTTGTTCGGACCGTACATCTTGGAAATGTTGGCTCGAACTTCTTGCTCGAAAGCAAGAATACCCGTACTCCGTGTACTTAGACCCTTGCCCCCTCCGACAGGAATACCACCACTCAAAACACTAACACTCAGTTAGCATGGACCCCCAATGGTGGATCTCCTATCCCATTGGTTGGGCATGCTAACCGATTGATACTCACTACCCTCCTCCCAGTGGGAGGGTGCCTAGAAGATCAATTTCCTGTTCAAGGGACCCTCTGTGAGGTGCCATGTTAGTGGGAAAGTTCCTCCACTAAAGGTGATACCCTGAAAAGAAAAAAAAAGATGGGCTTGGCTTTCCGTTTGGACACCTTCCATTTGATGTGTTTTTCAGGTTCCCCTTTCCCTTTCTAAGCGAATCTATCACTAGTTTCAATTGCTTCTGCAGGCCGCAGAACTGGTTGATACTCACTCTCAGGTATCCCTTAGTGGTTGGATGGGTGGTTGAGGATTTTAACCCCTGCTTCCTGTAGGTTTTTTTTGTTTGGGAAACCCCTCCATTTCACCCCCAAACCACCGATCCGGCTCCAAGACCCAGGCTTTTTGTGTGGGAAGCTGATAGGTCGAGGTCGGCTTTCGCCTGGATGCGGGGTACACCAAGACCTCGCGGATCACTCGGGGTTTATTCCCACTTCTGTGATACTTTTGGGAGTCTCCCCCTTTTCTGGGGTTTGTCTTTGGGAAGCCCTTCTCGTGGTATCACAGAACTTGTGGTATCCATTTGGGTATGGTGCGTTGCCGACAGCGCAGGGTTTCCTCGGCATGTTCCACCTTGTGTGATGCTGTAACTGAGTCGAACAAAAATACTTGGCGGCTCCCAGCCATCCAGTTCAACTTCGCTTTTTAGCCTTTTAGTACGTTTAGTGGTAGTTTCCATTTAACCCACTAAAAGTTCAGCTTTTCGCGGGGGATCCGAAAACGGGCAGCCCGGAAACGTGTCAACACTCGCTCGCCAGGGCCCTGCAGCGGTGGATCAGCGAGCATTTGGTGGCGCCTTCTGATGTGCCAGCCACCGCCCCTCGCAACGAACATGGAATTTTGGTTGGGAGTTCTTGGGGACATGAAGCATGGCCTTGTCGTTTGTTTTGTTTGGTGCTGGTGAATTAGCATACATATACATATATATATATATGTATGTATATATATATATATGGTTCCGTGTTCCGTGTTGCCCCCCCCCCCCCAGACAGTATGGGGCCCCCTGACCCCGGAAAGGCCCCGGGGGGGGGGGGGGTTATTCGACGGGCTTCATGAGCATTGACGATGTGGAAGTAGACAAGAACCACAGTGGCGGGGGGGAGGGGTACTGGTTCCACCCATGACCATTGGGGGGGGTGGGGGGCTGGTATATATATATATATATATGTATGTATGTGTTTTGTTGTTCTGAGGGTTATTTCACTAGGATTTGTTTTATGAGGGCCTTTTTTTGTTGCTCGCATGTGGGAAATGGGCTTGTTTTGAAGTTTGAGGCCGAGTGGGGTGGGTTGGTCGAACCGGGAGAGGATGCCCCATCATTTCACAGGGCTTGATTCTGAAGATGACTGGTCGCAAAAAAGGTGGCCTTTTTTCCCCACCTTTACACTGGTTGGTGACTGGCGGCTTGGCCCTTTCGGAGTTTGTTTTGCACATTGCAATCTTTCGGGGGATGGACAGACCTTCGCTCCCATTCAGATACACCAGTTGGTCCGCTGGGCAAGTCTTCTCAAGAATGGTTTCATCCATCCCACCTGGTGGGCAAGAAGTCTCTTTTGAAGCGTGCCTGCCTAAGCGGTCCTGCCATGTGGGCGGTTGCAAACTGGTTGGTCGCTCCATTGTCAGGTAGAGTCGGAGGCTGGATTCGGAGCACACTTGGGCCGGCTTCCATGCCCCCAACTGGGGCCCTATGGCTTGCAAGAAATCTTTACGGACCTCCAATTTACCTCTTGGTTCCTAGGCCCAGAAGACGGCTTGGGGGTCGAACGAACCAAATCACGGCAACGACCAGGGGCAGAAAGGGATGCGCAGAATCTTGCTTAGACCAGGGTTCCGCTAGTGCTCAGACTGCTTTCTTTCGGTTTCACTACAAAGTGGGGGGCCAAGGGCCTAGTGGGCACTACAAAGTGCCGGCATGCGCTTTTCTCAGTTTCCCGAGGCCTGGTGGTTTGTTGTTTTCTGGGCGGAGGAATTCATCTTTGAGGACTCAAATGTCTGGACCCTTTGGGTTCTGGTGAACAAAACAAAAGGGAAACCACAAAACCGTCCGGGGGGGGTCGTTGATTTTGTCATCGTGTCGGCGTGCCCGCTTCGAGACCGAGTTCGAACACCGAGAGCTGGCCATCCCAACAGGGGACGACTTATAAAGAAGACTTTTGGCAAGCCGAACTCGGTTTACTTAATACCAGGGTGGCCACGGTTAGGTTCGGTTCGGCTCGGTTTCTGAAACCTTTTGAAAACCTTTCTCCGGTTAGTGGCGGTTACTCATAACCTTCCAAAACCTGCCGGTTTGCACGGTTAGTGCAGAAAAGTAAGATAAGGCTCTAGGTAACTCAGTCTGCTTTCGCCCACACTTCGCCAACTTCCACATCTCTGGCATCGCCATCCATCTGACATCGCCATCCCACACCACACACACAGACACAATTACACACACAAACACAAACAAACAAGCAAACAACCAACCAAGCAAGCAAGCAAGCAAGCAAGCAAACAAACAAACAAACAAACTCACAAACTCACAAACTCACAAACACAAAAACAAACAAACGAACCATGCCACTGACTGATGCTGAGCATGTTGTTCCGCGCACGTGGCCTTGGGAAGCATCTCAGAAGTCAAAGCTCAAAAGCGAAAAAAAAACAAGTCACTGACCGCTGATGGGTCACTTTTTTTCTTGCCAAATTTCAGCGGTGTTTCGTGTGTTGCGAGCACTGCGGAAGCAAAAATCAGAACCAGAAGCGGCCAATAATGCGGGTTTGTTGCCTTGACACGTGCAGCAAAGGGGCCTCAGCTGCGGTGGCCTGCTAAGCGTGCCAAAAGTTCTGGCAATCAGGCTGGTGGGGCGTTGGGGAACGGCAGGGCAGGCCCAGGGCAAGGCGGCAAGGCGCCGGGAGAGCAAGCCCTCACAGTGACAGCGGGCAACTCAGTTTTCCTCCCGTTCGGCCCGCGAGAAACTGTTCCAACCCAAGCCGGGCTGCGCAAAAAAAACAACCCACTGACCG